GATAATGGGGGGGCATTGTGGTGGAGGCTTTGGGGGGTCAGCTACTGCACAAGGAACACCCTGGTATGCAGGCGCAGGAGGTGGGCATGGGGCTAGAGGGGTACAGGGAAGTGGGTGGGGAACAGAGGAGGCTGGGGGAGCTGGATCTGGAGGGTGGGGGGAATATGGAGGGGGCCTGGGAGTCTTGGTGAGCTTGAGGGACCTGGGAGGGCTGGGAGAATCTGGGGGGCTTGGAGGTCCTGGTGGTTCAGGGAGGGGGATCAGGGAGGCTTGGGTACTGGGTGGCACTGGTGTGGGTGTGGGTGCAGGTACAGATGAGGGTGCAGATGTAGGGGCCTGTAGTGGTGCAGGTGCCCTCAGTGCCAGCCCTGATGTGTCTCTACCCTGCTCCTCCGCCCCCTCCAGGCATTCCTGGCAGCTCTGCAGACCCAGTGGAGCTGGATGCTCCAGCTCTGCTGCTGCATCGAGACCCACCTGAAGGAGAACACCAACTACTTCCAGGTACAGGGGGGCCAGGGGAGGGTTGGGGGGGTCGGAGGGAGGGGGTGACCCCAGTGCTGACCCCTGCCTCTCCCCCCCCCCCACCCAGTTCTTCAGCGAGGTGCGAGAGACCGAGGAGCTGCTGCGCAAGACGGAGGAGACGATGCGGCGCAAGTTCAGCTGCGACCGCGGCACCACGGCCACGCGCCTCGAGGACCTGCTGCAGGACCTCGCGGTGAGGGCTCGCCTGGCACCCCCAAGGGGACTCCCAGACCCCCGGGGGTACCCCCACAGTGACCCCCCAGACCCTGGGTGGGGATCCCCCCCAAGACGACCCTCACAAGGTCCCCAGGGCAACCCCCCCCCAATATTCCTGAACTCCCCTGAAACACCTGGTATCCCCCCTAAATTTTTGATGCCCTTACAAACCGTGGGATTTCCAAAATCCTGAGGTGCCCCAAACGCGTTCCCACAGGAGCAAAAGGAGCAGCTGGCAGAGTTGGGGACCCAGCTAGGGGCTCTCGCCCGCCGTGCCAGGACCATCGTGCAGCTGAAGCCGCGGAGCCCTGGGACCCCCCTGCAGGGCCGCCCCCCCATCCAGGCTGTCTGCGACTACAAACAGATGGAGGTGGGGGGGTTACAGGGGCTGGGTTGGTGCAGGTGGGAGGTGGGAAGATGTGTGGGGGCATATGGTGGGCCCGGCACCCCAGTCTGATGTGGGGTCCATGGGGGGACATGGGGGAACATGGGATGATCCACACACTGGCCTGACACCACTCTGGGGGGCATAGGGAGATACTGGGGGCCCCCCACCCTGCTTTCATGCTGCCCTGGTCCCATGAAGGGACACAGGGTGGGAAAAAGGGGGCCCCCCACCCCCTTCTGATGCCGTCCCAGGCCCGTTGAGTGCTGTAGGGTGGGCACTGGGTGCCACCCACCCCAGCCTGAGACCACCCTGGTGCTATGGAAGGGAAATATGAGGGGCCTGCAGTAATATGAGGGAAATATGAGGGGCCATCGGGATTCCCCTATCTGGTGCTGCCCCAGCCCCATGGGGGGACACAGGGGTGGACATCGGAGGGGGACACTGGAGGCCCCCCCACCCCATGGGGGTGACATGGAGGAATATGGGAAGACATAGGGGAATGTCAGGGGACGTAGAAATGCACATGGAAGAGCCCCACCCTGCTCTAACTCTGCCCCAGCCCCGTGGGGGGACATGGTGGGGGACACAGGGGTCCCTCACCCCAGTCTGACACCATTCCAGCTCCATGGGGGGGACACAGAGGAATGTAGCGGGGACAGAGGGGCACACGGGGGGGACACGGGGGGATGCAGGGTACCCCACTCTCCCCCTCTGCCGTGCAGGTGACAGTGCACAAGAACGACACGTGTGCCCTGCTGAACCACGCGCAGCCGCAGCAGTGGCGGGTGCTGAGCGCCGGCGGCAGCGAGGCCGTCGTGCCCTCCGTCTGCTTCCTCCTGCCACCGCCCAACAAGGAGGCTCTGGATGCCGTGCACAGGTGGGGACGGTGACCCCACGCCCCTCCCCGGGCAGCCCTGTGACCCTCCCCACTAACTCTGTGTCCCCGCAGGCTGGAGACCACCCACCAGCAGCTGCTGGGGCTGTGGCAGCAGCTGTACCAGGACCTGCGCAGCCTCCGCGCCTGGCAGTACCTGACCCGGGACATCCAGCAGATCCAGTCCTGGACACACATCACGGTGAGTCCCCAGGGGTCCCAGGGTGGCACGGGGGTCCCAGGGGTTCTGGCGGGGGCTGACATGGCCGTGCCCCCCTCAGTTCCGCACGCTGCCGGCAGAGGAGGTGCGGCAGGTCCTGCGCAGCCTGGAGAGCCACTACCAGGAGTTCCTGCGGGACAGCCAAGACTCCCAGAGCTTCCAGCCTGATGACCGGCTGCAAGTGGAGCGTGACTACAACGCCTGCACCCACAAATACGAGCTGCTGCTGCGTAGCCAGGAGAAAGGTGGGTGTCCCCTCCCTGCTGTGGGTCCCTGCAGTGTCCCCAGGGTGTCCCCAGGTGCTGAGCTGTCTCCCTGTCCCCCTTCCCTGCCACGGTTCTCTGGGGTGTCACTGGGGCACTGAGCCATCCCCGGGGTGCTGAGCGGTCCCCACGTGCCCCCTCCCCACCTCAGTTCCCCAGGGCATCCCTGTGGTGCCCCACGGTGTTGAGCCATTCCCCGTGTCCCCCCAGGAGAGCAGGATGAGTCTCTGTGCAAGAGCTACATCTCGCAGCTGAAGGACATCCGGCTGCAGCTGGAGAGCTGCGAGAGCCGCACCGTGCACCGTCTGCGCCTGCCCCTGGACACCGACCCACTGCGCGAGTGTGCCCAGCGCCAGGCCGAGCAGCAGGTGTGTGACACGTGTGTGCAGGCGCGTGACGCGCGTGCAACGTGCGTGGATCCGGGCCTCGGCTCCAGGACGGGGCTGGGGGCTGACATGGAATCTCGGAATGGTTTAGTTTGGAAAAGCCTCTGAGCCCTTCGAGTCCAACTGCACTCCCAGCACTGCCAGGTTGACCGCTAAGCCGTGCCCCCACGTGCCGCATCCACACAGCTGTTGAATCCCCCTAGGGATGGGGACTCTACCCCTGCCCTGGGCAGCCTGTGCCAGGGCTGTACAGCCCTTTTTCAGAAGGAATTGTTCCCAGTATCCCATGTAAACCTCCCCTGCCCACTTGCTCTGGTGGGCTGCAGGCTCTCCCCCTGCTCGGCTCCTCCTCGGGTCCAGGGGGACCAGGGGAGCATTTCGTGGGGGTTCGCCCTGACCCACAGCCAGCAGGAACTGAGGGACTCTCTCCCTACAGCAAACCCACCTGGAGCTGGAGGGCATCCAGAAGAACCTGGCCAAGGTCAGTGAGAAGACGGAGCAGGTGCTGGCGCAGCCAGAACAGGCGGGCTCAGCCCCTGTCCTGCGCTCCGAGCTGGAGATCACCCTGCGGAAGATGGAGCAGGTGTACAGCCTCTCCAGCATCTACCTGGAGAAGTGAGTGTGATCCCAGCCCTGGCACTGTGCAGCTTCTTGGAACCCTGGGCTGGGAATGGGCTTGGGCAGCTGGTGGGGCTCAGTGGACTTGGGGGAAGCCGGCATGTCCTTCCCTTCCCTGTTTCCTCTTTGTTTCCTTCTTTGTTTCTGTTCCCTGTTTCCATCTTCTTTCCTTGCCTTGCCTTGCCCTCTGCCCTTCCCTTCTTCTTTCTCCCTTTTATTTCCCTTTTCCTTCCCTCGTGTCTCTGTGCTTTCACCTTAGCTGAGCTGTCCCGCTCTCGGCTGAGCCCATCCTACTCCTGTCCCACTGCCATCCCACTCCTGTCCTGCCCCTGGCTGATCCCTCCCACTGCCACAGGCTGAAGACCATCGGGCTGGTGATCCGGAGCACGCAGGGGGCTGAGGAGCTGCTCCGCAAGTACGAGGAGCAGCTGAAGGACGTGCAGGCGGTGCCAGCTGACCTGGCTGAGCTGGAGGCCAGCAAGGCTGAGCTGAAGGTACTGGGGGGTTCCAGGGAGTGCCCAGGGGGAGCTCGGGGAGCTGGGGCCGGCACTGACCCCTGCCCATCTGCTACAGCGGCTGCGAGCGCAGGCCGAGGGGCACCAGCCCTTCTTCAGCACCCTGGAGACCGACCTTGGCAAGGCCAAGGATGTCAACGAGCGGATGGTCCGCGGCCACAGCGAGAGGGATGTGGACCTGGAGCGGTACCGGGAGCGGGTGCAGCAGCTGCTGGAGCGCTGGCAGGCCGTGCTGGGCCAGGCCGACCTGCGCCAGCGTGAGCTGGACCAGCTGGGCCGCCAGCTGCGCTACTACCGGCAGAGCTGCGACGCCCTGCGCCAGTGGATCTGCGACGCCCGGCAGCGCCAGGAGGCCATCCAGGCCGTGCCCATCACCGACAGCCAGGCCGTGCGCGAGCAGCTCCTGCAGGAGAAGGTAGGGGCAGAGGCGGGACGAGGGGTGTGCCTGGCCATCCCTGGTTGGTGTGGGACAAGGAGTGCTGCAGGTCATGCCCAGCGGGATGAGGGGTGCACCCGGCCATCCCTGGTGGTGCAGGGTGTGTGTCTGGCTGTGCCTGACAGGGCAAGGAGTGCACCTGGCCAAACCCGGCCCCGATGGGGCCAGGGGTGCTGTCAGCTGTCCCTGCTGCAGTGGGACGGGGAAGGCTTTTGGGTGGCCGTGGTGGGATGAGGGATGCTCTTGTCTGTCCCTGGCTCTGTGTCAGGGCAGGGGGTGCTCTCAGCCATCCCCAGGAGGGTGAGGGGTGCTCCTGGCCATTCCCACCTGTGGCGTGGCTGGGATGTGCTGGGGGTGCTCTCAGGTGGCCGTGGGGTGCCTGGGCTCACCCTCACACATCTCCCCAGAAACTGCTGGAGGAATGTGAGCAGCACAAGGAGAAGGTGGAGGAGTGCCAGCGTTATGCCAAGCAGTACATCGATGCCATCAAGGTGCGCCTGCTGCCCAGGGAGCCGGGGCTGGGGGGAGGCTGGACGGGCAGCACAGTATTCCTTGGGGGACTAGGGGGGACAGTGCCAGGGCTGGGGGTCTCACCAGGGCACCCTCTCCCTGGCAGGACTATGAGCTGCAGCTAGTGAGCTTCAAGGCGCAGGTGGAGCCGATGGCATCGCCAGCCAAGAAGCCCAAAGTGCAGTCGGCGTCTGACAGCATCATCCAGGAGGTGAGGGCGATCCCACTGCTGTGGGCCTGGGGTGCCCCATGATCATGGAGGGGTGGGCCTGGGGAGCTGCTGTGCAGACTCACCTCCATCTGGACCCACCATTGCCGAGGGTGTGGGGACCATGGGTGTGCTCCCCTCCCTTCCTCTGACCCTCTGTCTCTGCAGTATGTGGACCTGCGGACGCAATACAGCGAGCTGACCACACTCACCACCCAGTACATCAAGTTCATCACCGAGACGCTGCGGCGGCTGGAGGAGGAGGAGGTAGGGAGCGGCGTGGGGAGGCATGGCCGGCTGTGTAACTGCAGGGAGCGCGGTTCACGGGGGCTCCGGCCCCACCACTAACACCAGCCTATGGCTGTGACTCTGGCCCTGGCCCCATCACTGACACTGGCCCCCGGCCATGACTCTGGCTCTGGCCCCATAACTAACGCTGCCCCATGGCTGTGACTCCGGTTCTGGACTCATTACCATCATCAGCCCGGGGCTGTGACTCCGGCCCCAGCCCTGATCACTAACACTAGCCCATGGCCATGACTCCAGCCCTGGACCTATCAGTAATGCTGGCCTATGGCTGTAACTCTGGCCCCATCACTAACACTGGCCCACAGCCATGGCTCCGACCCCAGCCCCATCACTGACACTGGCCCATGGCTGTGACTCTGGCCCCATCACTAACACTGGCCCACAGCCATGGCTCCGACCCCAGCCCCATCACTGGCACTGGCCCATGGCTGTGACTCTGGCCCCATCACTAACACTGGCCCACAGCCTCTAACTGCTCCCTGCCAGGCTCCCGGGAGTGAGGCCACTGGCTCTGCAGGGTCTTAGAGCCGAGCTGGCTCTGGGCACCGGGGGCTCTGGTGTGACTGGTGGTAGGAGGCACTTCCCAGATACACGTAGTGCAGTCAGCACCCGCCTGCGCATGCCGCTGTGCTGGGCGCCGGCCCGCGGGGTCTGGCGCGGGGTAACCTCTCTAATTCTTGGTTTCTGCCCTCGGAGCCGCTTTGCCGGTGCTTTTTCTTTGGGGATGTTTGTGTTGGTGGGGATCTAATGGAGGGTAAAAAACCAGGATGACTCTGGCAGCCCTGCACCAGGTACTCACTCTGCGCATGCCCCCTCCCTGCGGCACCCTCTGCCTTCCTCATAGCTCACCCTGTCCTCCTCTGTCCCTCCTCAGCCTCTGTGCTGCTCCTGGGATCGGGGGTCTGGCTCAGGGCTCTGGCTCCCTTGCATGTGAGCTGCGTGTGCCCAGGCCCTGCGGAGCGTGCGGCTGCCTCCGTCGTGGTGCATGTGGTGTGAGCACTGTGCTCGCACCTGGAAGAGGCCGGGAGGGGTCCGAACCGGTTGGATTGCTCTCTCTCTCTATCGTCGAGGCTTTCCCAGCAGGGAAAACCTCTGTTGGCATCGCCCTTGCACGGCTGCCCTCTGTCCTGCTCTTGGTGCTCGGGCCGTCTCTTCTTCTTTGCCCACGGTGGGCGCTGTCTGTGCCGGCCCCCTGGCACGGGGAGCCATGGTGGTGGCGTGCACGCTGCTTGCATCTGTCTCCATCGCTTGGGCTCCGCTTGCCCTCTGTCCCTTCTCTCTGGTACGTGGCCGCCCGCTTCCCATGCTGCTGTCTGGCTCCTGTCGCCTGTCTGCCTGCGCTGTTGTGTGTCCCCTGTCATGCCACATGTCTTCTGGAAGCTGCCGCCGTCTCGTGGGGCGGCCCAGGGGCCAAAGCCCTTCCACGTACATGCTCCAGCCCTCCACTGGCTCAGTGGTGCGTGGCTTGGCCGGCGCCAATGCCGCGGCGCGATCGCATCCCTTGTGATTTGTCTCTCTCTCCCCTCTCTGTCCCCTGTACCCTCTTTCCCCTCCAGAAAGCCGCCGAGAAGCTGAAGGAGGAGGAGAGGAAGCGGCTGGCGGAGGTGGAGGCGCAGCTGGAGAAGCAGCGGCAGCTGGCCGAGGCCCACGCCAAAGCCAAGGCGCAGGCGGAGGCGGAGGCACAGGAGCTGCAGCTCCGCATGCAGGAGGAGGTCACCCGGCGGGAGGTGGTGGCCGTGGATGCCGAGCAGCAGAAGCAGAACATCCAGCAGGAGCTGATGCAGCTGCGGCAAAACTCAGACCACCAGATCAAGTCTAAGGTGAAGCTGATCGAGGAGGCCGAGTACAACCGCAAGAAGGTCGAGGAGGAGATCCGCCTCATCCGCCTGCAGCTGGAGAGCACCGAGAAACAGCGGGAGAGTGCTGAGACGGAGCTGCAGGAGCTGCGGGCACGCGCCGAGGAGGCTGAGCGGCAGAAGCGACAGGCGCAGGAGGAGGCCGAGCGCCTGCGCCGCCAGGTGAAGGAGGAGAGTCAGAAGAAGCGGGAGGCAGAGGAGGAGCTGAAGCGCAAGGTGCAGGCCGAGCGTGAGGCGGCGCGGGAGAAGCAGAAGGCGGTGGCGGACCTGGAGCAGCTGCGGCTGCAGGCGGAGGAGGCCGAGAGGCGCATGCGGCAGGCGGAGGCCGAGAAGGAGCGGCAGATCCAGGTGGCCCAGGAGGTGGCCCAGCGCAGCGCCGAGGCCGAGCTGCAGAGCAAGCGGCTCTCCTTTGCCGAGAAGACGGCGCAGCTGGAGCTGTCGCTGCAGCAGGAGCACGATGCGGTGGCCCAACTGCAGGAGGAGGCCGAGCGGCTGAAGAGGCAGCAGCTGGAGGCTGAGCGCTCGCGGGAGGAGGCCGAGAAGGAGCTGGAGCATTGGCGGCAGAAGGCCAACGAGGCGCTGCGCCTGCGGCTGCAGGCCGAGGAGGTGGCCCACAAGAAGTCGCTGGCGCAGGAAGAGGCCGAGAAGCAGAAGGAGGACGCGGAGCGCGAGGCCCGCAAGCGCGCCAAGGCGGAGGAGGCGGCCCTGCGGCAGAAGGAGCTGGCGGAGGAGGAACTGGAGAAGCAGCGGGAGCTGGCGGAGGGCACGGCCCAGCAGAAGCTGGCGGCGGAGCAGGAGCTGATCCGACTGAAGGCAGAGATGGAGAACGGGGAACAGCAGCGCCTGCTCCTGGAGGAAGAGCTCTCACGGCTGAAGAGCGAGGTGAACGAGGCCATCCAGAGGAGGAAGGAGCTGGAGGAGGAGCTGGCCAAGCTGCGGGCTGAGATGGAGGTCCTGCTGGAGAGCAAAGCCAAGACAGAGGAGGAGTCGCGCTCCAGCAGTGAGAAGACAAAGCAGCGGCTGGAGGCGGAGGCCAGCAAGTTGCGGGAGCTGGCTGAGGAGGCCGCCCGCCTGCGTGCCCTCTCTGAGGAAGCCAAGCGGCAGCGACAGCTGGCAGAGGAAGAGGCCGGCCGGCAGCGGGCCGAGGCCGAGCGCATCCTGAAGGAGAAGCTGGCGGCCATCAATGAGGCTTCACGGCTGAAGGCGGAGGCAGAGATCGCGCTGAAGGAGAAGGAGGCGGAGAACGAGCGCCTGCGGCGGCTGGCGGAGGACGAGGCCTACCAGCGCAAGCTGCTGGAGGAGCAGGCGGCTCAGCACAAGCAGGACATCGAGGAGAAGATCGCCTTGCTGAAGCGCTCCTCCGAGAGCGAGCTGGAGCGGCAGAAGGGGCTGGTGGAGGACACGCTGCGGCAGCGGCGGCAGGTGGAGGAGGAGATCCGCGCGCTCAAGGCCAGCTTCGAAAGGGCGTCAGCTGGAAAGAGCGAGCTGGAGCGGGAGCTGAACCGCATCCGCGGGGAGGCGGAGGAGGTGCAGCGCAGCCGGGAGCAGGCGGAGCGGGAGGCTGAGAGGCAGCGGGCGCTGGCACTGGAGGAGGAAGGCCGGCGGCGCGAGGCCGAGGAGAAGGTTCAGGCCATCCTGGCGGCTGAGGAGGAGGCTGGGCGGCAGCGGCGTTTGGCCTTGGAGGAGGTGGAGCGGTTGCGGGCCATGGTGGAAGAGGCGCGGCGGCAGAAGGAGCTGGCCGAGAAGGAGTCGGAGCGGCAGATCCAGCTGGCGCGGGAGGCGGCGCAGAAGCGGATCGCGGCGGAGGAGAAGGCTCACCTGGCCGCCGTGCAGCAGAAGGAGCAGGAGCTGCTGCAGACGCGGCAGCAGGAGCAGAGCCTCCTGGACCGGCTGCGTGAGGAGGCCGAACGGGCCCGGCGGGCTGCCGAGGAGGCCGAGTTTGCCCGTGGCAAGGCTGAGCAGGACGCCAGCCTGTCCCGGCAGCGCGTGGAGGAAGCCGAGCGGCTGAAGCAGCGGGCAGAGGAGGAGGCACAGGCCAAGGCGCAGGCACAGGCGGACGCGGAGAAGCTGCGGAAGGAGGCTGAGCTGGAGGCAGCGAAGCGGGCGCAGGCGGAGCAGGCGGCCCTGCGGCAGAAGCAGCTGGCCGACGCCGAGATGGAGAAGCACAAGAAGTTTGCTGAGCAGACGCTGCGGCAGAAGGCGCAGGTGGAGCAGGAGCTGGCCAAGGTGAAACTGCAGCTGGATGAGACGGACCATCAGAAGGGCATCCTGGACGAGGAGCTGCAGCGGCTGAAGGAGGAGGTGACGGATGCCGTCCGGCAGAAGGCCCAGGTGGAGGAGGAGCTCTTTAAGGTCCGGGTGCAAATGGAGGAGCTGGCCAAGCTGAAGAGCCGGATTGAGGAGGAGAACAAGGTGCTGATCCTCAAGGACAAGGACAACACGCAGAAGTTCCTGGCGGAGGAGGCTGAGAAGATGAAGCAGGTGGCAGAGGAGGTGGCCCGGCTGAGTGTGGAGGCGCAGGAGGCCGCCCGCTTGCGGCAGCTGGCTGAGGATGACCTGGCACAGCAGCGGGCACTGGCGGAGAAGATGCTGAAGGAGAAGATGCAGGCGGTGCAGGAGGCCACACGGCTGCGGGCCGAGGCTGAGGTGCTGCAGAAACAGAAAGACCTGGCACAGGAACACGCCAAGCGGCTGCAGGAGGACAAGGAGCAGATGCAGCAGCGCCTGGCTGAGGAGACCGAAGGCTTCCAGAAGACACTGGAGGCCGAGCGTCGGCGGCAGTTGGACATCACAGCCGAGGCTGAACGCCTCAAAGTGCAGGTGGCGGAGATGAGCATGGCCCAGGCCAAGGCTGAGGAGGAAGCCAAGCGGTTCAAGAAGCAGGCAGAGGAGATCAGTGAGAGGCTGCATGAGACCGAGCTGGCCACGCAGGAGAAGATGACGCTGGTGCAGACCCTGGAGATCCAGAGGCACCAGAGCGATGAGGATGCGGAGAAGCTGCGGAAAGCCATTGCTGACCTGGAGAAGGAGAAGGAGAAGCTGAAGCAGGAGGCAGCACTACTACAGCAGAAGGCAGAGGAGGTACTGGGCTGTGGGACCCCCTTAGCAGTGGTGGTACACAGGGAGGCTGTCCCTCTCCCCAGCCACCCCACACCATCCCTGGCCAGGTCCCCAGGGACCATCACCGGGGATGGTGGGGCAGGACCCCCTATGAGGGTCAAGGATGCCCCCTTCAGTTGGGAGCACTGAAGCAAACCCCACAGGCAGTGTTGGAGCGGGACCCCCAGCCTATCTCCTGCTGTGGACGGGGGATCCCCACCACTTGGGCCGGCTCTTCGGCCCCGTGGTATGTCCTGCCGTGTTCTGTGCCCAGTTCCCATCCTCGGTGCTGGAGGATCCCTTGTGTCCTCCCCCTGTTTGTCCTGCCCCGTGCTGTGTGTGTGGCTCCCTAACCCCGGCTCTGCTCTTTAACTCTTACCCAATATAGCGGAGTGTGTGGGTGACTCTGTGTTCCCTGGTGCCACCCCTGCTCCCCACGCCCCATCCCCCCCCCCTCAGTCCTCCCCACTGCCCTCCTGGGTGTCTGACCACACTGTCCTCTCTCCCACCCCAGATGCAGGTGGCCCAGCAGGCTCAGCTCCGTCAGGAGACACAGCTCCTCCAGCAGAGCTTCCTGACGGAGAAGGATGCCCTGCTGCAGAAGGAGAAGTTCATTGAGGAGGAGAAATTGAAGCTGGAGAAGCTCTTTAAGGACGAGGTGAACAAAGCCCAGAACCTGAAGGCAGAGCAGGAGAGGCAGCAGCAGGAGATGGAGCAGGAGAAGCAGCAGTTGAAAGCCATGTTGGATGAAGCCAAGAAGCATCAAAAAGAAGCTGAGGAAAATGTCCGGCACAAGCAGGAGGAGCTGCAGCAGCTTGAGAGGCAGAGGCAGCAGCAGGAGAAACTTCTGGAAGAGGAGAACAAGAAGCTGAGGGAGAGGCTTGAGCAGATGCAGGAGGAGTACAAGGCAGCCCTGGCCCAGAGACGGGAGATCATGATCCAGACGGACGACCTGCCCGGGGAGGCTGCGGTTACGACGACACAGCTACTGGACATGAAGGCTGTGCCCAACAGCCGGGACACGATGGACGGCTTAGCTCAGAACGGGGAGCCAGAGTTTGCCTTCGACGGCATTCGGCAGAAGGTGTCAGCAGAGAAGCTGGCTGATGCCGGCATTCTGAGCAGAGAGAACTTGGACAAGTTGTCGAAGGGAGCTGTGAGTGTGGGCGAGCTCTCGCAGAGGGAGGACATCAAGAAGTACCTGCAGGGGAAGAGCAGCATCGCTGGTTTGCTGATCAAACCCACTAACCAGAAGATGAGCATCTACGAAGCCATGAAGAAGAAGCTGCTCAGCCCAGGCACAGCGCTGGTGCTTCTGGAGGCTCAGGCTGCCTCCGGCTTCATCATTGATCCCGTGCGGAACGTGAGGCTCTCGGTGAACGAGGCGGTGCGAGAGGGTGTGATCGGGCCGGAGCTGCACAACAAGATGCTGTCGGCTGAGCGGGCTGTCACCGGCTACAAGGATCCGTACACAGGGGACAAGATCTCCCTCTTCCAGGCCATGACGAAGGATCTCATCGTCAGGGATCACGGCATCCGCCTGCTCGAGGCCCAGATCGCCACCGGCGGCATCATCGACCCCGTGCACAGCCACCGCCTGCCCGTGGAAGCGGCCTACAAACGCGGCTACTTCGATGAGGAGATGAACCAGGTCCTGTCCGACCCCACTGATGACACCAAGGGCTTCTTTGATCCCAACACTCAGGAGAACCTCACCTACCTGCAGCTCATGGAGCGGTGTGTGACTGACCCAGACACAGGGCTGTGCCTCCTGCCACTCACTGACCAGGCAGCCAAAGTGAGGGAGCTGGTCTACACTGACAAGGAAGCCAAGGACGTCTTCAAGAAGGCCACGGTGACGGCGCCATTTGGCAAGTTCCAAGGGAAGACAATGACCATCTGGGAGCTCATCAACTCTGAATACTTCACTGAGGACCAAAGGCGAGACCTGATCCAGCAGTACAGGACTGGCAAGATCACAGTGGAGAAGATCATCAAGATCATCATCACGGTTGTGGAGGAAAGCGAGAAAAAGAGCCAGATGTGCTTTGAGGGCCTGCGGGCACCCGTGCCCGCTGCTGAGCTGCTGGAAAGCAAAATCATCAACAAGGACCTCTACAACCAACTGCACCAGGGCAAGAAATCCGTGAAAGATGTGGCAGAGATGGAGTCTGTGCAGCAGTACCTGAAGGGCACAGATGCCATTGCCGGTGTCCTGGTGGAGTCGACGGGCCAGAAGCTCACCTTCTATGAGGCCCTGAAGAGAAACCTGCTGAAGCCAGAGGTTGCCCTCTCCCTGCTGGAGGCACAAGCTGCCACTGGCTACATCATTGACCCCGTGAGGAACAAGCTCTTCTCTGTGGACGAGGCGGTGAAGGCTGAGGTGGTGGGACCAGAGTTCCACGAGAAGCTGCTGTCGGCGGAGAAGGCGGTGACCGGCTACAAGGATCCCTACACAGGCCAGACGGTTTCCCTCTACCAAGCGCTCAAGAAGGGTCTCATCCCCAGTGACACTGGGCTCCGGCTGCTGGACGTCCAGCTCACCACCGGCGGCATCATCGACCCTGTCAACAGCCACCGGCTCCCACTCGAGGTCGCCTACAAGCGCGGCTACTTCGACCCGGAGATAAACGAGGCTCTGACTGAGCTCCGAGATGACGCCAAGGCTTTCTACTGCCCCAACACCCAGGAACACCTCACCTACGCCCAGCTGCAGAAGAGCTGCCACCGTGATAAGCAGACTGGCCTGTGCCTGCTGCCCCTCTCTGACAAGGCCATCCAGTCGCAGCAGGAGGAGGTCTACACAGACAGCCAGGCCAAGGAGTGCTTCGACAAGACCACCATAGAGGTGCCGGTGGGCAGCATGAAGGGCCGGACGATGACCATCTGGGATCTGATCCACTCTGAGTACTTCACAGAGGAGCACAGGCGGGAGCTCCTCCGGCAGTACAAAACCGGCAAAGTGACCATCGAGAAGATCATCAAGATCGTGATCACCATCATTGAGGACGTGGAGACCAAAAAGCAGGAGAAGCTGACGTTCAGTGGTCTGCGGGCGCCAGTGCCGGCCAGCGAGCTGCTGGAGTCCCGCATCATCAGCAAGGCCCAGTATGAGCAGCTGAAGGAAGGCAAGAAGACGGTGAAGGACCTCTCTGAGACAGATGCAGTGAGGAGGTTCCTGCATGGTGGCGACTGCATTGCCGGCGTCTACGTGGAGGCCACCAAGGAGAAGCTGAACATCTACGAGGCCATGAAGAGGAACCTGCTGATGCCCAGCACCGCTGCGGTCCTCCTGGAGGCCCAGGCAGCCACTGGGTTCTTGATTGATCCCGTGAAGAACCGTAAACTGTATGTTAACGAGGCGGTGAAGGCTGGTGTTGTCGGGCCTGAGCTGCACGAGAAGCTGCTATCAGCTGAGAAGGCCGTCACCGGCTACAAGGACCCCTACTCGGGCGACACCATCTCCCTCTTCCAGGCCATGAAGAAAGGGCTCATTGTCAGGGATCACGGCATCCGCCTGCTGGAGGCCCAGATCGCCACCGGCGGCATCATCGACCCCGTGCACAGCCACCGCCTGCCCGTGGAGGTGGCCTACCAGCGCGGCTACTTCGATGAGGAGATGAACCGGACGCTCTCCGACCCCACTGATGACACCAAGGGCTTCTTTGACCCCAACACTCAGGAGAACCTCACCTACATGCAGCTGAAGGAGAGGTGCATCGAGGATCCCGAGACGGGCCTGTACCTGCTGCCTCTGCGGGAGCCCGAGAAGCCGAAAGTGGTGGAGACCACCCAGGTTTACACAGAGGCAGAGACACGGAAGGTGTTTGAGGAGACGCAGGTGGACATCCCTGTGGGCAGCCGGGCGGGCTCCTCCATGTCGCTGTGGGAGATCATGCACTCGGACCTGCTGCCCGAGGAGCAGCGGAAGCAGCTCATGGAGGAGTTCCAGTCAGGCCGCGTGTCCAAGGAGCGCATGATCATCATCATCATCGAGATCATTGAGAAGACTGAGATCATCCGGCAGCAGAACCTCATGTCCTATGACTACGTCCGGCGCCGCATCACGGCTGAGGACCTCTACGAGGCCAAAATTATCTCTCAGGACATTTACAACCTGCTGAAGCAGGGCTCCAAAACCTTCCGGGAGCTCCTGGAGGTGGAGACTGTCTGGAAATACCTCTATGGGTCAGGCTGTGTGGCTGGCATCTACATCCCCTCCTCCAAGCAGACACTCAGCATCTACCAGGCACTGAAGAAAGGGCTGATCAACTCTGAAGTGGCCCGCTCTCTCCTGGAGGCCCAGGCAGCCACCGGCTTCATGATCGACCCCATAAAGAACGAGATGCTGACGGTCGATGAGGCAGTCAGGAAGGGCGTGGTGGGGCCTGAGATCCACGACCGGCTCCTGTCTGCAGAGAGAGCTGTGACCGGCTACAGAGATCCCTACAGCGAACAGAAGATCTCCCTCTTCCAGGCCATGAAGAAGGATCTCATTCCCAGCGAAGAGGCCCTCAAGCTCTTGGACGCCCAGATCGCGACTGGCGGTGTCATCGACCCACACCTGGGCTTCCACCTGCCCCTGGAGGTGGCCTACCAGCGGGGCTTCATCAACAAGGAGACGTACGACATGCTCTCGGAGCCCAGCGAGGTGCGCAGCTACGTGGACCCCTCCACGGATGAGAAGCTCAGCTACACGCAGCTGCTGAAGCGCTGCCGGAAGGATGAGAACTCCAGGCTCCTCCTGCTCCCGCTCTGCGACACGCGGAAACTCACCTTCCGGGGGCTGCGGAAGCAGATCACTGTGGAGGAGCTGGTCCGTTCGCAGGTGATGGATGAAGCCACAGCCCAGCGCCTCCAAGAGGGCCTCACCTCCGTTGAGGAGGTCTCCAAGAACCTCAAGAAGTTCCTGGAGGGCACCAGCTGCATCGCTGGTGTCTTTGTGGACTCTACGAAGGAGCGTCTGTCCGTCTACCAGGCCATGAAGAAGGGGATCATCCGGCCCGGCACTGCCTTTGAGCTCCTGGAGGCGCAGGCAGCCACGGGCTATGTGATCGACCCCATCAAGGGCCTCAAGCTGACAGTGGAGGAAGCTGTGCGGATGGGCATCGTGGGTCCTGAGTTCAAGGACAAGCTGCTCTCTGCCGAGAGGGCCGTCACCGGCTACCGGGACCCTTACACCGGAAAGCTTATCTCCCTCTTCCAGGCCATGAAGAAGGGTCTGATCCTGAAGGACCACGGGATCCGCTTGTTGGAGGCGCAGATCGCCACGGGAGGCATCATTGACCCCGAGGAGAGCCACCGTCTGCCCGTGGAGGTGGCCTACAAGAGGGGCCTCTTCGACGAGGAGATGAATGAGATCCTGCTGGACCCCAGCGATGACACCAAGGGCTTCTTCGACCCCAACACAGAGGAGAACCTCACCTACCTGCAGCTCATGGAGCGGTGCATCACTGACCCAGAGACTGGCCTCTGCCTCCTGCCCCTGAAGGAGAAGAAGCGGGAGAGGAAGACTTCTTCCAAGTCCTCTGTCCGCAAGCGTCGGGTGGTGATCGTCGACCCGGAGACGGGCAAGGAGATGTCTGTCTACGAAGCCTATCGCAAGGGCCTCATTGACCACCAGACCTACCTGGAGCTGTCAGAGCAGGAGTGCGAATGGGAGGAAATCACCACCTCCTCCTCCGATGGTGTGGTGAAGTCGATGATCATTGACAGGCGCTCAGGGCGCCAGTATGACATCGACGATGCCATCAGCAAGGGCCTGATTGACCAGTCGGCCCTGGACCAGTACCGCTCAGGCACCCTCTCCATCACCGAGTTTGCTGACATGCTCTCCGGCAACATGGGTGGCTTCCGGTCGCGGTCATCCTCAGTGGGATCCTCCTCCTCCTACACTACTGTCAGCCCAGCCCTGGCACGGACCCAGATCTCCATGTGGACCGACCCAACTGAGGAGACCGGGCCGGTGGCAGGCATCCTGGACACAGACACTCTCGAGAAGGTGTCCATCACAGAGGCGATGCGCCGCAACCTGGTGGACAACATCACGGGGCAGCGGCTGCTGGAGGCCCAGGCCTGCACTGGGGGCATCATCGACCCCAGCACTGGCGACAAGTGCTCCGTCGCTGACGCAGTCAGCAAGGGCCTGGTTGACAAGATCATGGTGGACCGCATCAACCTGGCGCAGAAGGCCTTCTACGGCTTCGAGGACCCGCGGACCAAGACGAAGATGTCGGCGGCGCAGGCGCTGAAGAAGGGCTGGCTGTACTACGAGGCTGGGCAGCGGTTCCTGGAGGTGCAGTACCTGACAGGGGGCCTGATCGAGCCCGACACTGCGGGCCGTGTCTCCCTGGACGAGGCGCTGCAGAAGGGCACCATTGATGCACGCACCGCCCAGAAGCTGCGGGATGTCAACACCTACTCCAAGTACCTCACCTGCCCTAAGACCAAGCTCAAGATCTCCTACAAGGACGCCATGGACCGGAGCATGATCGAGGATGGGACCGGCCTGCGGCTGCTGGAGGCCTCCTCCCAGTCCAGCAAGGGCTACTACAGCCCCTACAACGTCAGCAGTGCCGGCTCCACTTCTGGATCCCGCTCAGGCTCCCGCACCGGCTCCCGCTCGGGCTCCCGGCGCGGCAGCTTCGATGCCACCAGCTCCGGCTTCTCTATGACCTTCTCTTCCTCATCCTACTCCTCCTCAAGCTTTGGGCGCAGATATGCCGGGGGTCCCCAGGGCGCTGTGGAGGCAGCTGCTCTAGCCCTTGCCCTCACCCTGGCTGCATCTGGGAGCTGTGGGCGGGAGGCGAGCGGGGAGCACCCCGGGGTGTGCGGGCCTCCACTCCACGTGGCCTGAGACCCGCCAGCCCCCTGAGGCTCTGCCTCACCCGCTCCGCATGTGGCAACGCTGCTGGCTAATCACTAGTATTTTTTTTTAATTTTGAACCTCCACTCTTCTCCCAAAGCAGTGCCTCGAGTTTAACCAAAAAGACAAGACTAATAAATTAATATATGCGAATGTGCTGACAGTGTTTGTATATTAAGAGATAAGACAAAACACACACTACCACTCTCCCTGTCTTGTGCCCTGGGAGCTGAATGCCGTTCCAGGCCCCGGCTGCGCAGACTCCGCTGCCGCTCACGCACGGTGCGGTCAAGCCGGACACCAGGAAAACAGTTCCCTGTTTGGATCTAACCACTTAGCACTCTTTTTTAACTATCCTGCCGGCTTCAAACCCCCGCACCCCAAAGGAGGAGATGACCCTGGCTTCGTGGTGCACCACACTGCAGCTGGCATGCCGGAGGAGGACATCGCGGGCTCCCCGGCACCAGACAGCCAGACGCACCACGCCGGCCCTGGAGCTGCTGCCTGGACCCCTTCCACCCACCCTCAGCGTGGCGAGGAGGGGCTCTGCACCCAGCCCCCCAGCTGCCCCATCTCCCTGCCTTGGCCTCCCGGCACGTCCCGCCACTGCACCGCGGAGCCGGTGCCCTGACCGTAAGTGCCGCGCTGGTGCTACCCGGTGCTTCTGCGCCACGCGGGGGGACCTGCCTCCGCTCCGCCGCTTCGCCCGCCGAGGGGCTTCGCTGCGCGCCTGCCTCCGCCAGCCCGCCCGCTCACCCGCCCTCCGGGACTCTCCCGCCGTGGCCGGCCAGTCTGTCTGTCTGTCTCTCCGTGTATCTGGGAAGTGCTTCCACTCGAGGTTGATTTCCTCACACTGATGGTGGCTCCGTGCCCCGTTGGCAGGTGTCCACCAGAACCCACGCCCCAGCCCGGTTCCATGTGGCTCCTGTGCCCAGAGCCCCCCTGGCCACAGGGACTTTCCTGACCCTCGTGAGAGGTGCTGGGGCCCCAGGACCCCCGGAGCATGGGGTGGGCCGTGGGATGCTGCAGCAGCCCGGAACGTGCTCTTGTTAGAAAATGGCGAAATCCTGTAAAAGCAGCCTCCTCTTCCTTCTTCACGGTAATTCCAACCCCCTGTCCCCAGCTCTCCCTGCGCCTGCAGTAACGCGCTCTCTCTCTGGCAGACGTCTTTTTCCAGTCCCACCAAAGATGTCCCGGTGCCGCTGGGTGAGCTCCTGAGCTGGGTCTCCGACATCAGCAGGTCGTGGATGGGCTCGAGGGGAGCCCGGGTGGCTGCAGCTGCTCGGCCGCGCTCACCGGCACAGGTAATGCCGAGCTCCCCGCTCCGTCCCGGTCCTGCAGCGGGCGCGCGGCACTGCTGGCCGGGTCATCTCATGGATCGTTCTCCCTGTCTCATCCCACCTTTTCTGTTCGCTTTGTTGTAGTGTGGCTGGATGTCCATCTCACCTCCCCTCATCGCTGCCACAGAGCCCGTCCCCTGCCCCGGGGCCTGTTGGACCGCGCCTGAGGACACGGGGATGTGCTCCCTCGCCCTCTGCACTTGCCAGAGTCCCCGGGCAGAGACTGGGGCTGCAATGCCCGGGCAGCCAGCGGCCCAAGAGGCACCCACGGGGTCACCCAATCCCTCCTCGCCCCGCGCATCCCCTCCTCCCCAGGGACAGCCTCCCGGCGCGGTGCTGGGCTCACCGCGGATCTCCATGGCATCTCCTTCTTTCCCCCTGCTCTCATCTGCCCCCTGTAAATCCAGTCATGTTACCCTCCGCCTCCGGTGTCGTTATTGCTCTCATTATCCCGTTTGGCTTTGCATGAAGCGCTGCTGCACGCGGCTCCGGGGTGCTCCCCGCTCCCTGGGGCCCCCCGTGCCCCGACCATCACCCATCAGGGCATTGGGGGCCCATCGATTACCCAAACAAGTGTTTTGGGGGCAAAACACTAAAATCCTGACCTGTACATACCGCGAAGTGTCTGTAAAAGGAGCAGTGTGGACCCAGGGCTCCCCTGCGAGGGCAGTAAAGGAGAATCCTCTGAAACCAGCTGGCAGCTCTGCGTGGTCTCTTTGCCCCTCCAGCCTTGCCACCGTGGCTGTGGGCTGGGGGCGTCCACTGCCTTCTGTGGCTTTGTGCCATGGGCTGCTGGTGCTGCTGTGGGTCATGGTGGAACGTGCTGGGGAGCAGTGGGTCTGACCGGCTCCTGGCACAGGTGCTTCACCCATGGGCTGGGCCTCGGTGTCCCCACAGTGCTACCGGGCCGCAGGGGTGTCCCCAGGGCTGTCCCGGGCTGGTGGCACAGCTGGCACTGCCAGGAGGTGAGTGTGGATGCAGCCCCTGGCCAGCAGATCCCTCGTTTTGAGGAGTGAGCACTGCTGGGACTGTGAGGGCTGTAAGGGCTTCTGAGGCTGCTTCTCTCCCATGGGGACAGACCCCTCCTGGCTCCGTCAGTGGGGCTCTGGGCACAGCAGGGACACTGCCCCCCACAGCACTCTTCCTGGTGCCCGTGGGTGCCGTTACCACTGCTAGTCGAGGGCTGTGCCCACTGGTCCCATGGCCTCTGCCCAGCGCCGGCTGTGCCCTCCCTTTTCAGGCAGTGAGCTGTTGTGGGCAGATGGCAGCAGTTTGCTGTGAGGATGAGGGGCTGGAGGGGATCAGGGTGTGCTGGTGGCTGACAGGGCAGCAGCACTTGGGAGGGACAACCCCAGCAAACTGGGAAGTGTTAGTGCAGCTGCCAGCGCAGGTGTGGGTGGCTCAAGGTGGGCCAGGCGTCACCCTCTGTCCAGCCTGGTGAGCCAGGTGTCACCCTCTGCCCAGGCTGGGGCTCCCTGAGCGCGAAGCTCATCCTGTGGCAGTGCCAGGAGCCCTGGGCACCACGCTGGGAGTGCTGGAGCTGTCCAGGCCCTTGCAGGACCACTGTGATGTCCAGGGGCTGGTGAGGTCTCACTGTGCCAGGAGCAGCTGAGCATGTCCACCCTGGCAGCAGCCCTGAGCGGGGAGGCCGGGCTGTCCAGGACAGATGGCGATGGCTGGGAGGACGTTAATTGCATTGTCCGTCTGCAATTAACCACATCTGTCCCTACCGGCGGTGGGATGTGGCTGTTGGGCACAGCAGGGCCAGGGGGACTGGGGGGGTTGCAGGCTCAGGAGGGATCCCAGGGCAGCAATGACATTCCCTGAAGTGTCATGGGCTGCTCAGGGCCACACCACATTTCACTCCAGATATTCCCTGTGTCCTCTGGACCTTTCCTGCTCCCCCAGACGTTCCCTTCTCCCCACACCCTCCTGATCCTCCTCTCCTTCTTCCCTCCCTGGCCAGTCACCCCTCCCAAAGCTCATGAGGCCATCAAGAGCCCTCTTCTGGCCCAGGGCTAAGCCCCACGGCCCAGGCCCACATCACCACTTGACACTGGTGGCGTTCAGCTCTGGTCCCTGGTGGGAGACCCCCCCCACTCCTGGGCCCCACCACGGGGCCTGCATCCACATGACAGAGGAGATCTCACTCCCTACGCACCCTTTCCCACACCCCCTCAGCCCTGTGCCCGTGGCATGGGGACCCTGCCCGGGGTGCTGGGATCCTTCCACCTTGGCTGGCAAACGGGCACAGGAGACGGGGACGCCCCGAGATCTGGGCTGTCTGCTCCCGGGTGCCGTGGGGTGAGCACGCAACTCCCAACCCAGCACAGTGTCCTTTTTCCATGGACCCTCTCCATTGGCTCGTCCTGTGCCCTGAGACCCGCCCCCCCCTCACTCTTAAAGCCCCTTCAGCACCACGTGCTGTGAGTGACCAGGCCGGTGTGTAACCGGGCCGAGCTTGTCACGATGGAGAACTCCATGACATTCCCGATTTTAATGGCCTGCAGTTCATCCCGTCCCGCTGCCGTGCGGCTCGGAGCTCACCCTCCTCGCTCCCCTCGAGCTAAACCATCCCTCAGCATTAACACCGCGGGCCGTGGCATGTGAGGCACCGAGTGCGGCCCTGACCGTGGTGCCGATCAGCCCTGGAGGGGTCCGTCGCCCCCCGCCCGGCGCACATCGGCATCGGCCGACCGCCCGTCACGGTGTGAGCGGCAGCACCGCCCCGTCCTGGCCGCGGTCCGGTGCGTGGGACCCGTGGCCGCCGTCCCAAGCGTGGCCGCGGCAGTCGGCTCGGCTGCCAGCTCTCTGTGCCACCGCCCCGGGCACTGCTGGCTCGGCCCCCGCCGCGCCGGGAACGCTCTGTACAGCTCCTCCACAAAGCCGGACAGGCTTCTCCCACGCCCCTCCGTCGCCGGGGCGCTGAACCTCCTCATGGGCAGGGACCCCGAGAGCCCCCGGCCGCGCCGCTGGGGCTCGGAGCCCGGCTGCGTTGGCCAAGGCAACTCTGTGGCCCGTCGGGTCTGTGCCAGATTCACCGGCGTTGGCAGGGCCGGTGAATCCCCCCGTCCGTGGCGCGGGGCTCAGGGGTGCGAGTGGGGACGGTCCTGCCCCCAGGGCTGCAGCCACCACGTCCTGCGGGGTACCGCGAAGCCCCCAGGCTGGGCACAGGGCCAGGGTGACGCGGTGGGGACAGCGGCAGTGCCGTGTGGGCAGCGCGGTACGGGGACCTGCCTCCCTCCGCGGCACTGTGGAGCTGCTGACGGGCAGCTCCAGATCTGTTTGTTCCTGCCGTCTTGTCCCCGGGCGAACGGCGTAGCCCGCGGTGTCTGATGCCCGAGCCAGGGCTGGGGGCTGCTCCGGACCCACCGCCAGCGTGCCGGGGCAGGCGGCGGCTGCGGAACCCTCTCAGGCACGAGCCGCACTCAGCACCTCGGTGTCCCGGCGCCTGTCTAGGGTTCGGGGCTCCTCATGGTCTTTTGGCACGTCCCCAGGATCGGAGCGGCCGGTGCAGCCGCGCCGGCGCCGTGTTTGGGACAGGCTCGCAGCGATCGCCGGGGCTTCATCCTCGGCTCCATCCCTGCCAGCTTGGACTGAGTTTGGGCTGGGAAGAGCGTTTCCCGCTGCAGATGCTGTTGTCGTCTGCCCACCTGCGGCAGCATCCTCCAGCTCCCCGGTTCCCTGTGCCCAACCTCTTGTAGCAGGGCACCGCGGTCCTGTCCTGGGATGAGGACTCACGGTGGGGCACACGAGACCAGGAAGCAGGATGCTGGTGGTGGCTTGGCCAGCTGGCGGGGGAAGCACTGGCGAGGGTGCCAATGCCGAGAGCAGGTGGCCACACTGAGGGCGTGTCGGCCGGGGGGACCCTGCCGTGGCTGATGGCATCGTGCCCGCAGGGTCACCCGTGAATGCTCAGTCCCGGAGCGCCTCCGAAGGGACCGAGCCCTGCCGGCACTCCGACCACGCGGGACTGCTGCGGCATCGGCACCTGACACCTGTCTGATGCCGCTTCCCCTCATTCCAGGAATTCCCTACTGCTCCTGCGGGGATTCCTGACCAGACCCTGCCCGCGGCTCCTTCTGCAACAGCCGCATCCAGCACCCCCCCAGTCTGTGGGTGACTGTGCCCCGTTTCCCTCCTGATATCCCCAGACGCATCTCCCCCTCCTTGTGCTCGGCCAGGTGATCTGGCTTAATTAATCACCTGCGTTAACGACGAGTTGATTGCAGGGCTCCCTGTGCTCTCGGGAGCAGCGCCGTCCTCAGCTTTGGGAGTGGGGGCGGTGCGATCCCTCCTGCCAGCCCCACCGCAGGGGCACGGAGTAGGTGCTGCTTGTTCATGCCCCGTCTCTGTACCCGTGCCGAGCCGTTGCTGGGTTTTAGATCTCGGCGTTTGCCCGGTGTCTCCTCCCACGTGTTGTGGGAAAGCGACCGTGCTCGCAGCACCGGAGCCGGCAGCGGCTGGTGTGGGCGTCAGTGCTCCGTGTCAGTGCAGTGGATTTTCCGTGGGTCGGTTTGGCGCGGATCAGTTTTCCATTGTTCGAGTTGCCATGCCTTGGTTTGGGCTCAGCCAGGCACCGGACCGTGACTCTGCAGTGCACAGAGCAGGTGTAGGGACGCTGGGGACCAGATGGAGCCTAAGGGGCTGCAGGGTGAGATCTGGGAGCGATCCCGGGTAAAAAAGGGTCGGGAAATTGGGGAGCGCTGCAGGAATGCAGAGGAAGCGGAGCAGAGCCCAAACCCGCAGGTACCGGTGACGGCTGGAGCAAGGACAGAGGTCAGAGGTCTCGGGTAGGGGAGCTTTGCCCCGGCTGGTGAGGACGGGCCGTCCCTGGGGAAACACAGCGACGCTCCAAGACCTCCGCAGTGGTGTTCCAGGGGGGAAGGCTGAGGAGCCTCGTCCCCTGCCGAGTCCTGGGTGTCCCATCCCCACCGTCCCTCTGCTCTCCCTGCAGACGCACCGCACTGCGAGGGACACCAGGCTCGCCGGGGAGAGCGTGCAGGGGTCATCATCGGATGGGGAGGACATAGAGAGGTACGGGCACCACTGGGCACTATCGAACACACCGCGTCGGGGCCTGTGGGTGTGCCTGGGTGCCTACACCGTGACGGGGGAGCTGAGGGGAACCTGCCTCGCCCGGGGGTCTGGGTCGGCGCCGGGATGGGGAGGGCGCGGTTCGGCTTTGCCCGGGAGAGCAGGGTGGGAACGGGCGCAGCCGTGAGCGCTGGCGTGGCCTTTACGCCCTTGGCAGGGTCTTCTGTGAGTGCGCAGTGAGGCCGGGGCTCAGCGTAGTGTGGGCACGTGGGACAGCAGCCATGTCCCCTACTCTGTATTAGTGTCCCCGCTCTCTCCCCAGAGCCCGGCCGCGGTCAGAACGGAGGCTGGAGGTGCAGGAGCAGCTGCTGGCCCTGCGGCACTGGCTGGACGCAGTGGAGAAGCGGCTGACGATTCTGCCGGAGCCCGGCACGGCCCCGCAGGTAACGTCTGGCCCTGGGCTGCAGCCGGGTCGCGCGGAGCTGGGCAGGACCAGCTTACGTCTGTACTGAGGCCGATGGGGTCTTAGTCCCTGGAAGGCAAGAGGGTGCCCGGTCATAACCGGCTGGGAGACCCTTCGGCACAGCCCCACGGCCGGCTGGGAGACCCCCTAGGCTCGTCCCCACAACGAGCCGGTGTCAGGCCATCCGTCCCCGGCTCCTGCTCCCCGGCCTGGCGGTGCTGCTGGCTCGGAGCCCGTGGGCCCCGTGGCCCTACCAGTACCCGCAGCATCGCTGCCTCGAAGCCCCGCTGGCCGCAGGGCCACCGAACTGCACCGGGCTCAGCCGCGGCTCCGGGCACCACTGCCCGGGCACGGGGGGTGCGGCTGCGAGAGGGGTGTTGGGCTGTGCACGAGGGGTGCGCGGCCACGCACGGGCTGTGCGGCCGTGCCCGCTGTGCCCCTGCCCGGGCGAGGAGCCGCGGTGGGGGCTGCCGGCGGCCCCTCCTCGCCGCCCCGCGCGCAGCCCCTCGCCGGCTCCTTTTGTTCGGGGCCTGGCCGGCACACGGGCTCCCTCGGCACACATGACGGCACAAACTGAAAGGGCCATTCATCCCGGCCCCGGAGCAGACAAAGCCGAGGCCGCGCAGAAACCCACCCGGCTCCCGGGATCTGAGGCTGCGGATTCCAGCCGACCGCTCCCGCCCGGTGCCCCGCGCCGGGCTCCCCTGCCCGGGGCGCCCGTGCCACCCCGAGCCCGGTACCTGGGGCTGCGGAGCGTGCCGGGCGAGCTGCCGGCGGACAGCACGGCGGATCGTCACCCCTTGGCCAGGTCCTGCCTGGCGGGTCCCGCCTAGGCCCCGTGGGGTGCTGTGAGGTGCTCGGCGTGCCGTGGGGCTCAGCCCCATGGAGGGTGCTGACCCGCTTGGTGCCAACAGTGGAAGGCTCCAGAGCTGGGTGGGGAAGATGGTGCGGAGCCGCCACAGGACGGTGTGGAGCCGCCGAGGCCCTGGCAGATGCTAATTCCCGGCAGCGTCTCTGGCAGCAGACAAAGCCCCCGGCCCCGCCGCCCGCCGCTCCCAGGAGACCCCGGGCAGCGCCATCCATCAGCGCGGCCGACGCGCCCGCAGCGGCCCCCCGGCTCCTGGGGCCCAGCGAGGGCCACCCGTGCAGCACCGTGTGGCAGGACCCCTGCCCTGGGGGGCTCTCACTGGCTGGGGGGCCACGGAGCTGGGTCTGAGCAGAGTGGGGAGCGGGCTCACACCGCGGGCAGGAGCAACCTGTACCCCGGCACCTCCGGCAGCCCCCGGGTTCCTCCAGCACCCAGGGTGGCAGCGGGAAGGTGTCCCGGAGCCTCAGGTCTGCGGCACCCCGGCTTTCAGGGTGGGCTTCACTATAGCATCTCGGCAGCCCAGCCTGGGCCCCCCAGCCGTGCTTTGCTTCACTGAGCCTCCCCTGCTCAACTGAGTCCCCCCAGCCTCTGGCTCAAAAGCCCTCGCACCCGCAGAGCCCTGAGGAACGGGCCGAGCCCCTCGGTGACCAAGGCATCCTCTGCCTGGGGCTGGAGCCGGGGGGCCAGAGCCAAGGTGGGGGCTCAGTGCTCCCTGGGGGGTGTAACCCCGGAGCTGGAGGAGCTCTGACACTGTGGGGCGGTGTCGGTGCAGTGGGGGGGCAGGTGCCGGTGTCAGTGCCGGTGCCGATGCCGGTGTTGGTGTAGGTGGCAGCTGCTGTAAGTGTCGGTGTTGGTGCCGGGGCAACTGCTGATGCCGGGGAAGGCGCTGGTGTCTGTAATGGTGCAGGGACAGGGGCAGGTGGCAGTGCTGGTGCCGGTGCGGGTGGTGGTCGGTGCCGGTGTCAGTGCGGTGGAGGAGCAGGTGCTGGTGTCGGTGTCAAGGCCGGTGCCCGTGCGGGGTGTCGCCCCCCCGGCCGGCGCGGGGCGGGCGGTGGGCCGGCGCCGCCCCTCCCCCGCGGGATAGCTGCGAGGCCCCGGGGGTTTCCCCGGTAACGGCGGCGATCGGCGCCCGGAGGGTTAACGGGGGCGGCGGCGTGGCCAGGGTCAGACCAGCCCCACCGAGCTGGGCCGGGGCCGGTGCGAGGGTCCTCGCCGGTACCCCCCGCTCTCTGCGCTCCCCCCCGCGCCGCGGGCGCGGCGCACAAAGGCGGCGGGGCCGGGGCGGCGGTAACGGGGACCGAGCCACCCCGCTGCCCCCGCCCCGCTCTCCCGCACAGGCCGGGTCCCCCCCGGCCGCTAACGGCGGCGGTCCCAGCCCGGCCCCATGGACGCCCGGAGCCGCAGAGGGGTGAGTGTGGGTTGCGCGTTTCGCGCGGGTCCGGGCGGGGTCTGTGTCCCCGCAGCACCCCCGGGGCAGGGGCGCGGAGAGGGGTTCCCTCGAGTCACCCCGCGTCGTGGTCCTCCCACTCGTGCGGTCCCAAGGGACCCCGATACATGGGGAGGGGGGACGATGTGGGTGTGCGATGCCCCGCGGGTGCGAGTGTCGGGACTCCGCTGTGGGTGTGTGTGCGGTGACTGTGCATGGGGACCGTGCCCGTGGCGTGTTTCACGGCGCGGGGGCTCGATGCCCACGGCCGGGACACCCCGGGGCACACGGCCAGGGCGGGTGCGTGTGGGTGCACGTGCGCTCCCCACGCGTGTGCGGGGCTGTCACAGGTGCGTTTCATGTCACAGTTCACAAAGGCGCGGGGGTCCTGCCGCTGCCCCCTGCATGGGAGTGAGAGCGCGGGGTGTGCTTGTCGGGGTGTGTGTGCACATGTAGGGGAGTGGGAGCGTGTGTGTGTGTATGTGTGTGTGTGTACACACGTGTGGGGGTGTGTGTTTACCCACGTGCACAGGGGCGTGTGCCCGGGGCCGAGCCGGAGGGCCGAATGTGGGGCCGGGGACCGGGAGTGCTGCAGCTGCGGCACGGGGGGCTGGCAGGGGGGGCTGCCGGGGGAGGGTCCTGCCGGGTCACGCTGGGCGATTTATGGCTGCGGCAGTGCTGGCAGGGTGGGAGGCCACCTGCTTGTCCCCTGCCTGCCCCCTGCCTGCCCACCCGTCGCTGTGTGCACTCGGCCACTCCCAGCCCCCCGTCCCCCCGGACAGATGCTCCCCTCTCCCGGCTCCGCCGCCCTCGTTAATCCAACGGCACAAGGCGACACAAGGCGGGAGCATCTTCCTGTCCCCAGTGCCTGGCGCTGCCGCTCCTGCCGCGCCTGCTGCCGAGACACACAGGACGGGCACCCGGGAACTGCCCGGGGGGGTCTTCTCCCTCCGCCAGGCCCCGGTGACGGTCAGCGTCCCGTCCTCCCTTCCCTGTGCCCTGGCTTTGGGCAGCCCTTTGCTGCTCGGCCAGAGCCCCCCCACACCGGAGCGGGAGGTCAGGCAGAACCGGCAGCGCAGGGGGGCGGGAGGGGTGACCCGGGCGCAGGACGGAGTCCGGGGCCCCGCGGTGGCCCCGGCAACGCGCGTGTCCCCTGGCTTGTTGCAGGCCGGGATTTGAGGCGGGGGCCCGGCGGCCGCGCCATGGGGAACTCGGTGAGCCGGCCCAGCTGCCTGGGCGAGAAGAGCCGACGGCCGGAGGAGCTCCTGCGGGAGCCGCCGTGCCGGGAGCCGGGGCTGGATGAGGGGCAGCCGCCCGCTGGAGGCGTCACGGAGGCCTGTCCAGGGCTGCCGGAGAAGGCGCCGGTGCCGGTGGAGAACGGGTGGAGCCCCGTACCCGGTGCCATTCGGAGCCGGCCGGGCAGCCCGGTGCTGAGGCGCAGCCAGTCTGAGGTGGCGGTGCAGAACGGGGGCACGGCCGGCGTTCCGGTGAAGGGGCAGGTGGGGGGCGCAGCCTGGACACCCCCCCGGGCCGGCGTCCCCCGCAGCACCTGGTCCTGGAAACCTGTCACCACCCGGGAAGTGACGGAGGTGACGGAGGTGACTGAGACCATCGTGACCGAGATCGTGGAGGTGACCGAGTATCCGGTGGGCGAGAAGGGCGGCGAGCCCGTGGTCACCCGGACGGTCACCGTGCTGACGGAGCGTGTGGGGGAGCTCGCTGCCGCCGGCTGCGCCGGACATGCGGATGCCACCGAGGTGAATGTCGGTCAGGGACCCTCGCCGGGAGGACACTGTGCCAACCCTGAGCCACGGGGCTGCCCTCTGGCATGGGTCTCTCGGCAGCGACTCTTGCCCTTCCTCTCCCATGGCTGGGGCTCAAGCAGGGTCACCGGGGTCTGTGCCCTGGTGCTGGTGGCACCCGGCCCGGTGCCGTAGGACAGGGAGTCCGCCCCGTTCTCGCGGCTGGCGAGGATCGTGTGTCCAGAGGGGTCCAAACGATGCCGAGTGCGCAGGCCCTGCTTTGGAGAGCCCTGCGAGGGACGCCGGGGAGGACCTCATGGGCTGGGCAGGGTCTCACTGTCCCCGACGACACCTCCCGGACAGGGCACAGTGTGGGGTCGCAGCCCAGCCCCACGGCTGCCCCCTGCCCGCCCACCTGGGCGGCTCAGCCACTTCTCTACCCACAGGTGTCCCCGCGGGCCGTCCCTGTCCCAGAGGAGGTGGCGGGCGCGGAGCGGGCCCAGGAGACGCTAGAGCGGCTGCTGGCCTGGGTGGCCGACATGGAGGAGCTGGTGAGCAACCAGAAGCCGCCGTCGGCGGAGGCGAAGGTGGCGAAGGCGCAGCTGGAGGAGCAGAAGGTCAGCAGGGCCGGCTGGCGCGTCCCGCCCACGCGCTCCGGCTGGGGATTAGGAGGCCGGGGCTGGAGCCGCCGCCCAGGGCTGTGCCAAGGTGGCGGGGGCGGGCGGGGTCCCCGGCACAGCGCAGTGCCCCCCTGCCTTGCAGCTCCTGAAGCGGCTGCTGGAGGAGCGGAGGCCACGTGTGGAGCTCGTCCTGCAGGACGGACTGTCGGACAGAGCGGGGACGCGAGGCTCCAGCTCGGCGGTGCCTGAGGACAGTGCCAGCCTCTTCGACCTCAGGGAGAGGTGGGACAAGCTGATGCAGGAGGCTGAAGCCAGGTGGGTCAGGGTCCAGGCCCTCGTCACCGGGCAGGCACAGGCTATAGCCACTGATGTCCTCACCAGCTGTGTCACCATGACACCCTGATATCCTCCTGTGCCCTGCCCTGCTGACATCAGGGCCACCATGGCAGAGGAACCATCCCCATGCCACATGCCAGGGCTGCACAGGGGCAGTTGCTCTGGGGCTCTGCAGCCAGTCCAGCCTCAGAGATTATCACCCCTGGGCTCACCCAGCCCTCCTGACACAGGTACGGCCGCCTGGAGCGGATCCTGCCGGCGGCTCAGGGCTTCCAGGAGGCTGTGGATGCCTTTCAGGAGTGGCTCAGTGCCACGGAGCGACAGCTGGCCCAGCTCTGGCGTACCGATGGCTGTGTCAGCCGTGTGCAGGATGCCCACCGGCAGACCCAGGTGAGACCGGGGTGGGCACAGGGTGGGCACGGGCACCTATGTCATTGTCGGTCACTGCCACGGGAGCTTCTTGCCCAGGCCCTCTGTGAGGAGATCCGCGGGCGGCTGGGAGAGCTGGACAGCGCCCTGGAGAGAGGGCAGCAGGTCCTGGAGATGGTGACAGGTGAGTGGCAATGGCCAGGAGTGGCGGCCACGGGGTTGGGACTGTGGAGTGCGGGATGGGATGAGCACAGAGTGCGGGAGCCCAGCCCAGTGATGGCACCCCTGGGCACTGGGGGTCCTTGGAATGTGCTGCTCCCCACCGGGAGCTGTAGGGTGGTGTGAAGAGGCACAGCATCCCATGGGATGGAGAGTGGCCAGGGCAGAACCTGAGGGTCAAGGCCATGGTGGGACAGGGTGCAGCCATGGTGAGGGGAAGCTGGGAAGGTGGATTTTGCTGACAGCGGGATGAGGGGCCAGATCCAGCTCCGGGAGCAGCAGGAGAGGAGAAAGGTCAGGACAGAGCGATGAAAACAGTCAGTGTGGCTGTTGGCACGCCTGGGGATGCTGGGATGGAGGCGCTGATACTGGTGTGGTGTGGCTGCAGGGGAGGAGGCCCAGCTGGTACAGGAGAAGATGGAGTCGCTGAGGATGCGATACCTCATCGTGGGCCAGAGCAGCACCGACACCGCACACCGGCTGGGGCAGACCCTGGAAGCCTCGTCCCTCCTGGGCACGGCCCCTGAGGACCTGGCACTGTGGCTGGGCCGTATGGAGAAGGAGCTGGGCAAGCGGGAGAGCCAGGATGATGGTCAGGAGCCCCTGGTCAGCGCCAGTGACAGGGAGAAGGTGTGGGACGTGGCACTTTGGGGACTGTCACCCTCTGCCTCCCTTTACCATTCCCAGCATCTCTCTGCAGTGGGAGATGGTGGAGTTGGGTCTGAGTGGGATACTCTGGGTTATGGGAGACAGTCCTGTGGGACTGGGATGTGTCAAGAGTTTCTGTCCTGGAGCAGCTGCCCCAGTGTGTGCCCACTCTGCCCGTCTGACATCTGTCCCTTTGCCATAGTTTGAGCAGGTGCTGGAGTCCCAGCTTGCCCGTGTGACTGGGCTGGGCGAGCGGCTGGAGGAGATCGGCCGTGTGCAGCTGGACTCTGAGGCTCTCAGCTCACAGCTCTCCGAGCAGAAGGTGGGTCTGCAGCGGTGCCCAGGGGTCCCAGGGACACTGGCTTGGCATCCCCATTCCGCTGGGCCCGCCACTGACCCCCAGCACCTGGCACCCACCTGCTGCTCCGTTCCAGCTGCTCTCTGCTGAGGTCCTGCACTGCCGGGGCCTGGTTGAGCGTCTGCTGGGGATCTCAGACCCGCTGCTGCTGCACTGCTGCCCCGAGCCCCTGCGGCAGCGCCTCCAGGTGAGTCGGGCAGTTGCCAGAGGGGATGCTGCCAGCACCTGGGGATGGCCGTGCCCCACATCCCCTGCTGACCCCCTGTCTCTACAGCCATCGGTGCAGGCGCTGCGGGAGCGCACGGAGCAGCTCTCCCTGCGCAGCGGCGCCTGTGCCGTGCAACTGGAGCATGCCCAGTCCCTGCTCACCCAGTTCTCCGAAGCACTCGAGGAGCTGCTGCCCTGGCTGGAGGAGACACAGGCCCTGGGGGTGCAGCTCTCCCCCAATGCCATCAGCTATGAGGCCTTCAAGGAGCAGCAGGCGCTGCTGCAGGTGCAGGCAGGGACAGGGGCAGGGACGTGGAGGGACGTGCTCGGCTGTCCTGTGGGGTTGGGAGTGGAGAGGTGACGGGATGAGGTGGCATCACCGGGGGGCCCACCGGGCTGGGGCACTCTCTGAGCGTGAGCCTGCTGGGAGCAGCGCTAGGGTGCACCGGAACATGGCCCCGTGGGATGAATCCCTATGGGGCACGTGCCACCCCGATGTTGGCCCCATGGCTGCTCCTCACTCCCAGAGTCTGCGGGAGGCCATCGCTGAGCACCGGCCACTGGTGGGGAAGCTTCAGCGCGTGTCAGCACAGCTGGTGGAGCTGAGCCCAGAGCAGGGAGCCCCGTTCCAGCGGCGCTGGCAGGAGGCTGAGGAGCAGTACGGCTGCATCCGCGAGCGTGTGCGCCAGGCGGCGGCTCTGCTGGAGGATGCCCTGCCGCGATACAGCCAGGTATGGGGCTGGCACCGGGGCAGGGGGTGTCCCCACGGGTGTCCCCTCGAGTGACTGGGCTGGTCCCCAGCTGACGGAGCGCATGGACCTGCTGCTGGAGTGCCTGGAGCGGCTGCAGAGCCGGCTGCAGAGCCAGCCCCCCGTCCGCGGGGATGCGGCCCACCTGCGGGAGCAGATCCGGGAGAACAGCCTGGCCCTGGGCGAGCTGGAGAAGCTGGGGGTGGCCCTGGAGGGCATCCAGGAGCAGGGCAGAGAGCTGCTGGCCACCGTGCAGGCAGTCAGCTCCGACGCCGCAGCCAGAGGTATCGGCACAGAGGAGGGGTGGGCACGGCGTGCTTGTCTGTCCCTGTCGGGGCTGTGTGGGGGTGCCGGGTCCCTCAGAGCACCCTGATCCCCACCCCCTCGTGCCCCCAGGGATCCAGGAGCGCACGGCACAGCTGCTGCTGCAGTGGGGCTCCCTGCGCGGCCGCTGCCAGGAGCAGGAGCGGTGGCTGCGGGAGCTGCTGGCGCTGGCTGAGCGCTTCTGGCACGGCCTGTCCGAGCTGGTGCTGGCGCTCAGTGACACCCAGCAGCTGGTGCTGGGGCTGGAGGAGGCTGACGGGGAGCCCGAGGCCATCCGCACGCGGCTGCGCACCATGCAGGTACGGCTGGGGCGGGGGCCTGGGTGGCAGCGCTGTGGCACAGGCGGTCCCCCCGCACGGGCAGTCCTCATTCCAGGCTCCTGATCCCCGTGCCATGTGCAGGGGCTGCGGGAAGAGATCGATGCCCTGCAGGGCGAGCTGGACACGCTGGGCAGCCTGGGCGTGGAGCTGATGGCCTCCTGCGGAGACCCTGACAAGCCCGACGTCACCAAAAGCCTGGACGATGTGAGTGTCCCTGGGGTTGGGTTCAGTGAGGGATGAGGTCCCGGGGCTGAGGGGATGGGGTGTCCCCTGACCCTGGGCAGTGCCACTGATCCCTGCACTCCAGACCCCTGCACAGCACCACTGACCTTCCCACCCAGGCCCCTGTACAGTGCCACTGTCCCCTGTGCCTGGATGCCTGCGTGGTGCCACTCCCATCCCCCAGACCCCATACCCTGTCCCCCCCCATGGCACCGCTGACCCTGTGCCCGGCCGCAGCTCTACTCCTCCTGGCACAGCCTGAGCCGGGTGTGGACGGAGCGGAACGGGCGCCTCGAGGAGCAGCTCCAGGCTGCCCTCAGCTACCAGGACACGATGCAGGTGGGTGCGGGGGCCCTCCAGCAGGCCTCCCCCACGGAGGGAGCTGAGTCACTCCCCCCCCGTCCCTGCTGAGGGGCACAAGGGGCTGTGAGGCCACCATGGGACCCCTCAATTGTGATCTCCCATCTCTCCCCCCCATCCCCAGCGGCTGCTGGAGTGGCTGGACACGGCCGAGCTGCGCATTGCTGAGGAGTTCCTGGTCGGCGGGGACCTGGACATGGTGCAGCAGCAACTGGCAGAGCTTAAGGTGCCGTGATGTGCCATGTCGTGCCACGTTGTGCCGAGCCATCCTGTGCCGCCGGATGGGGCAGGCAGGGGACAGCGGGGCGCTCTAGACAGCAGGGGAATGGAGGGGTGGCAGGTTGTACGGTGCTGGTGCCTCCATGGTGGGTGCTGGGAGGTCAAGTCCTGCCCCCTACAAGGTCCCTGGGCAGGTTGGGTGTCGGCTCCCTGCGAAGAGCAGCCCCGTGCCCAGGTGCAGGTGCCGTGCCATTGCAGTGCCTGGTGACAGGCAGACCCCCTCCCGGGGTATGGAGCCGGGGTCACCCACCGGTGCTGGCCCCCAGGAGTTCAAGCGGGAGCTGTACCAGTGCAAGGTGGACGTGGAGAGCCTGCGGCACCAGGGGGGCACGGGGCAGGGGGACCCCCCAGCTGCGCTCAGTGACTTCCGCCAGCGCTGGGACCACCTGGAGGAGGAGATCGTCAGCCGACAGGTGGGAGGGGGCAGGGGGTTGCGTGGGGTGACAGGAGGTAGCTGGGTGGGTACAGGGGGTGCCATGAGGGTGCTGGCTGTGTGGGGCTGGGTGGGTGTGGTGGGTCTGGGGGGTTCAAGGGGGTTCTACATGGGCGCCGCGTGTGGAGCTGGGAGGGTGAGGGAGGCAGTGGAGTCGTTGGACACAGAGTGCGCCCTGTGGCGCCAGGTGCCCATGCAGGTGCTGGGCACGCTGGGTTGTGTGGGGCCAGGTGGGCACTGAATGGGTGCTGGGTGGGTGCCGGACATGGGGCTGGGGCTGCCGTCATTCCCCCTGACATTGCCTCTTCCCCTCGGCAGCACCAGCTGGAGGCGGCGCTGCTGGGGCTGGGGCAGTTCCAGCACCAACTGGCCGAGCTGCTGCAGTGGCTGAGCCGCACCGGGGAGCAGCTGCGTGGCCCCGCACCCCTGTGCCCCGACCTGCAGAGCTGCGAGATCGAGCTGGCCAAGCACAAGGTGAGGCTGGGCCGTGGCCCAGGGCACACATAGCACAGGTGGGGACCCAGACTGGGACCGTTGCTGAGGGTCCTGGGGGTCTTGGCCATGGTCCCACCCCCAGGGGGTGTGTCCTAGGGGGGTCCTGGCCATGGTCCCACCCTCAGGGGGTGTGTCCTGGCTGCAGGGTGCTGCCCAGCCCCTCCTTGGGCTGCTGCAGTGGTGGCCAGGCCGGGCAAGCTGTGGCATGAGGACATGTCCCCTCCCGCAGTGACACCGTGGAAGGAATGAGCTGTCTTTGTGCCATCCCAGTGCCGCAGTCCCTTGCCTGGGCACACTCGTGCCTGATGCAGGCGAGGTTGTGCAAGGACCAGGCTGGCCCCGCACCGGGGGATGTTATGCAGAGGGTACCCTGTCACCTCTATGCCTGCCTTGGCCAACCCCCTGCTACGAATCGGCAAATCTGATGCCTCAGCCCCATGCTCTGCTGAGAGCAAGAGTCAGGGGCACCCCTAGGTGTTGTCCTCCCTCTGTGTGGCACCCCCAGACTCCATCAGTGGGGTGGCAGCGATGACACGATTGGCAGAGGTGTCCCAGGCACTGAGAGCGAGGGGCTTTGTGCAGCACAGCTGGTGGGGTACGGCGTGTCCCTGCTGCGGTCCCAGCCGTGACCCCACTGCCCCTCTGCAGGTGCTGCGGACAGATGTGATGTCCCACGCCCGCACGGTGCAGTCAGTGACCGAGGCCGGGCAGGGGCTGCTGCTGTCCAGCCTGGGGGAGAGCGTGGAGGGGCTGCAGCGCAGCCTCCAGCAGCTGGGCCAGCACTGGGACCTGGTGCGCAGCGAGACCGAGAGCCGGCAGCTGGAGCTGGAGAACAACCTCAGCCAGGTACGGGAGTGGGGCTGCGGCGCTGCTGGCCGGTGGGGCTGTTTGCTGAGCCCCTCCTCACCCCCAGGTGCAGGACATCACACTGGAGATCACAGAGCTGCTGCAGTGGCTGGAGCAGGTGGAGTTGCAGCTCTTCTGCTCCAAACCGGCCTGGGGCCACCCGGATGCCACCAAAGAGAAACTCAACGCGCACCTGGTGAGCACCGGCAGTGGGCCGGGCCCCGCTGCCAGGGCTGTGCCCCGGGGTCCCTCAGGGGGATGTGTTCCCCCAAATCGACCCCCCTCCACAATGAGGGGCCAAGACCCTTCTCTGCTGCCTCCTCTCCCTGACCAGGCAGAGCCTGGTATCCCTCTCCACCCTCCTCCAGCTCCCTGAGACAGAGCAGGAGCTACCTTTGTTCCCTGTTCCTGACCCTTTTCCTGTCCCCATCTCAGTCTCTGTCCCCGTCCCCCGTTTACTGTCGCTGACCCCTTCCTCATCCCTATCCCTGTCCTCATCCCGTTCCCCGTTCCCCGTCCCTGTTCCCACGCCGGCCCCGCGGCGGGCGCTGACCCGGAGTGCCCGGTGTGCCCGGTGTGCCCGGCAGGAGCTGTGCCGGGAGCTGGAGGCGCGGGCCGTGACGTACCGGGGGCTGCGGGAGCGGCTGCAGCGGCTGCTGGAGTCGTGCCGCGCCCGGCGGCCCTGCAGCACCGAGCACAGCCTGCGGCTCCTGGAGCAGAAGTGGGAGAGCGTCCAGGCCGAGGCCCAGGAGAGGAAGGTGTGTGGGGCGGGGGGCTCCGACCCCGGGGGCGGGCTCACCCTGACCGGCCCCGGCGCCGGGGCGGTGGGTGCCCGCTCCCCGTCAGCGCCTGTTTCCCCCCGCAGGAGCGCCTGGCCGAGGGGCTGACGGTCACCACCGAGTTCCACGGCTCTGCCCAGGAGCTGCTGCGCTGGGTGGCCCACGCCGAGGAGCTGCTGGGGTCCCCGGCACCGCCCAGCTTCGTCCTCGACACCGTCACCGCCCAGATCCAGGAGCACAAGGCAAGGGAGGGAGGAGCCGGTGCGGTGCTCCGGGGGCTGATTCATGGGGCTAGATGGAGTCTGCCCGGAGAGCAACCGCGGAGAGATCCCCCCCGACTGGTTCACGGGGCTGGGGTCTGCACAGAGATCTCCCGTGTGGCACTGGCAGACAGATCTCCCTCAGGCTGGTTCATGGGGCTGGGGTCTCCCCAAAGGGGGGGTCCCATGTGGCACCCACAGAGAGATCTCTGGGCGGCGGGTGGGACATCTATCCCTGCAAGCAGTGGAGTGAGTGGGCTCTGTGTCCCATCCCGCTGCAAGCTGTGCCCAGGGGCTCCCCACCTGCCCTAGGACCACCCACCCACCCACAGCTGCCCCCTCCCTGCAGGCCCTGGTGAAGGAGGCGAATGCCTATGGGGAGAAGCTGGGTGGCTTGGAGGCCGTGGCTGCACGCCTGAAGGATTTCAGCCGGAAGCAGGATGGGGCTGTCATCCAGAACCTGGTGCTGGCGGCACGGGAGCGCCTGGGCAAGGTGCTGCAGAGGGCAGCTGAGAGGGGGGCAGCGCTGGAGGAGGCACGAAAGCGCAGCAAGCAGGTACCGTGGACATGGGCCGCTGCCCCTGTGGGTTGGGGAGGGGACTCTGCCCCTTGGTTTGCTTTGGACAAGGGCCTGGAGTGCCAGGGCAAGGGGGAATGACTTCCCACTGCCAGAGAGCAGGGTTAGATGGGAGGAAATTCTTGGCTGCGAGGGTGGGGAGGCCCTGGCACAGGTTGCCCAGAGAAGCTGTGGCTGCCCCATCCCTGGAAGTGTCCAAAACCAGGTTGGACGGGGCTTGGAGCAACCTGGGATAGCAGAAGGTGTCCCTACCCATGGGAGGGGGTGGCACTGGATGAGCTTTAAGGTCCTTCCAACCCAAACCATCCTGAGCCTGATGATTCCATGACACAGGTCCCGCTGGGAGCAGGCTCTGGTGCTGCCACCGTGCCGTACTGGCCCATGGTTTGCCCCGAAGTGGTGCCAGGGCTGTGCCACTCCCTTGTGTGGCTCCGTGGCTCCTGCCTGGGTTGCCCCAGCCACACTTTGCCCCCCCAGCCCCCTGCAGCCCTCCCCAAACCTCCCCTCCTTGCAGTTCAGCGAGTCCCGGCGGCTGCTCCTGGACTGGATGGATGAGGTGGAGCAGAGCCTGGAGGTGCCACAGGATGCTCCCACCAGCCAGGAGGAGATCAAGTGCCAGCTGGCTGAGCACAAGGTGAGGCTGCCCTGCTCCTGGGCACAGAGGGGTTCCAGGAGGGCTGTGGGGAGCAGAGCTGGGTGGCTGGGGGCTCCAGATAGGGGATCCCAAGCACCCTGAGGGAAATCCCCTGGAGCCGGGGGGGTGGGGGCATCAGATACCTTCCTAGGGCTATTCTGCAAAGTGAGGAGACCTGGAAAGGGACCCCAACGCTCCTGCAGCACTCAGAGGAGCACGGGGAGTCTCTCCCTAGCTGAGGGACTCAACACCTGCCCGTGGGGCCCCCCAGGCGTTCCAGAAGGTGCTGCGGGCGAAGCGGCCGGTGTATGAGGCGACTGTGCGGAGCGGGCGGGCGCTGCGGGAGGGGGCCCGGCTCCCCCAGGACCTGCAGCCGCTGGAGGAGTTGCTGGGGGAGCTCAAGGAGCGCTGGGATGCGCTGTGCAGCCGTGCTGCGGAGAGGTGGGAATGGGATGGGGATGGGGATGGGGATGGGGATGGGGATGGGGATGGGGATGGACATGGGTTGGAGTGGTCATGGGGTGGGGAAGGGGTTGGGATGCAGATGGGATGGGAGGGGAATGGTACAGGATGATATGGGTGTGTTCTCTGCTTGCTCTGGGGGTCTCAGGCGAGGACGTGGCACTGCCCTTCCTCCCTGATCATCCCACTCCCTGCTCCGGGACCCCCACGCCCAGCACTGCTGCCACTGGGGTGCAGCCAGGCCCTCTCCCATGAGGACACTGCCAGGGCCTATCCCTGTCCCTAACGGTGCTGCCAGCACTTGTCCTTGTCCATAATGGCACTGCTAGGATCTCTCCCTGTCCATAATGGCACTGCCAGCTGGTGTGATGGGATGGCCATACCCGGCTCTGCGGGTGACCCCTGGCACTTGTGACATCTCCCGTGCCCCCCTTGGCAGGCAGCACAAGCTGGAGGAGAATCTGCTCTTCTCGGGCAAGTTCACGGACGCGCTGCAGGCCCTCATGGACTGGCTGTACCGCGCCGAGCCGCAGCTCAGCGAGGACATGCCCGTCGGAGGGGACCGGGACCTGGTCGGGGACCTCATGGACAAGCACAAGGTGGGTGTCCCAGGCTGCGTGGGAGGGCCCTGCCTGGTGTTAGCCCTCAGGGAGCCCTGGGCTCTGTCCCCGCTGTGCCCACCCTCCATCTGGGACAGGACCGGACCCAGGCACAGGGCAGGGGCTTTGCTCACCCAGAGCAGTCCCCGTTTGACCTCAGCTTGTGCCCCCCATCCTGGGTCAGCACTGGGGGGCCCTGTGTACCCCACTGCTGGGAGGGTTTGGGGTGCACGTGGGAGCCCTGTACCTGCTGCTGGGAGGTTTGGGGTGCAGGGAAACCCCCCTGGTGCTCGCCGCTATGAGGTTTGGGGCGCGCAGGAACCCTGCTCGGTAACAAGGTCCAGGCAGGGTTCTGGGACCCCCCCCCAGCACCTCCCACCCCTCCTGCGCTCCCTGCCAGGTGTTCCAGAAGGAGCTGGGCAAGCGTGCCAGCTGCATCAAGACGCTGAAGCGCTCGGTGAGGGACCTGACACGCGGCAGCAGCAGCGTGGACTCGCAGTGGCTGCAGAGGCAGGTGGAGGAGCTCAGCACCCGCTGGGACCTGGTCTGCAAACTCTCCCTCTCCAAACAAGCCCGGCTGGAGGCTGCGCTGCGGCAGGTGAGGGCTGGGGGGGCGAGAGGAGAACCCCCAGGTTGGGGTCTGCTGTGAGCGAGGGGTCTTGGGGGGCAGCAGGGGAACCCCTGGGTTTGGGGTCTACTGGAGGGGGGGGTGGGCAGTAAGAACAGCAGGGGAACCCTTTGGGGCACCTGTATGGGAAGGCTGAGGCAGTCATAGGGGTGTGGGGTATCCAGGCGGTGGGTGGTTGAGCTCCAGGGTGCTCCATGGGGTTCTTGGTGGGTGGCTGTGCGTTTGGGGGCTCTCTGTGGGGTCCCTGGTTGGTGTGTGGCTGTGCCTTTGGGGGTTCTCTGTGGGGTCCCTGGTTGGTGTGTGGTTGTGCCTTTGGGGGTTCACTCGCTGTGGGGTGCCCGGGCTCGGCATGGCCATGCTCCAGGGTCCTCCATGAGGTTCCCAGGCTTGGCATGGCCATGCTCCAGGGTCCTCCACGAGGTTCCCAGGCTCGGTGGGCGGCCGTGCATTTGGGGGTTCTCCACGGGGTGCCCTGGCTCGGTGTGTGGCTGCACTGCGGGTGATGTGTGGGCCTGTGGGGCTCTGTGTGGCCGTGTCACAGGGTGCCATGGCCAGCTGCCAGGCTGGCTGCTGCAGGAGCCTGTTTTGGGTGTGCCCATGTGGCACAGGGTGCCTGGGGCAGGGAGCTGCGTGGCTCAGGGAGGCACTGGGGGGCTTGGAGGAAGTTGTGTCCAGGCACCGAGCCGGGGTGTGGGATGTGCCCTCAGGAGGGCTGAGCGAGGCTGGCAGCGGCTCTCCCCAGGCACGGTGTGGTGCCAGGGCCCGTGCCGCAGTTTGTCCAGCCTCGGGCAGGAGCAGCAGGTGCAGGACTCAGGGTCTGTCCAGGGCTCTGAGCAGCCAGGGGACTCAGGACAGGACCTGGGGCCACAGGGAGGGTGCTGAGCAGGTCCCTACTGTCGTGGCAGGCGGAGGAGTTCCACACCCTGGTGCACTCCTTCCTGGGGCGCCTCTCCGAGTCGGAGAAGACCCTCAAGTACGGCGTCTTCCCCGAGGAGGAGGCGGCTGTGCAGGAGTGCCAGAGCCAGCTACAGGTGGGTGCCAGCCCCCAACAGGACCCACTGGCCCCCACCTCTGGGTGGTTCCAGCCTTGCCCAAGGACACCCCATCACTGGGGTCAGCCGGCCCCTGACAGGCCCTGCTGGGCTGTGGGGTCCCCACAGCGAGATGTGGGATGTTGGGTCGCACTACACCAAGAACATGGGGTTTGGGGCCCCAAACACCCCAGGGGGGGGGAGTTTTGGCATCTCACACCCCCCAGCTGGGTGGAGGCTGGTCTGACAGGATGCAGGGGGGCTGAGACCTGGCAGTACCATGGTCCGTGCCCCCCCCAGGAGCTGATGCAGTCCCTGCAGTGCCAGCAGCTGGAGCTGGAGTGCATCACCTCACTGGGGGAGGAGATCCTCGCCACCTGCCACCCCGACTCTGTCATCACCATCAAGTCCTGGGTCACAGTCGCCAAGAGTCGCTTCCAGGAGGTGAGCTGGGTACCCTGTCCCCATCCCTGTCCAGGGTGAGTGTGGCCCCAAGACTCTCCCACCTCCAGGTCCTCCATGGCACAGCCCCCTTGACTGGAGCATTGTGGTGTCTGGGGGCACTCAGCCCTGGATGGCACAGGGAGAGAGTCTTGGCTTTGCCAGTGTCCCCCCCGTTGTCCCCCCCATCTGGAGACCATACAGGGGGTCACCTGGGGCCTCCTCAGACCCCCCTGGACAGCGGTGGCTCATTCCTGTGCCATGGCAGCCACCACACAGCCCAGGCAGAGAGACCTGGGAGCAGTGTCCCGGGGACCCTCCCCTCAGAACCCGCTCCTGCAGTGGCTCGGAGCCTCCCAGGATTGTGGGTTTGCAGGAGAGAGGCTCCTGGCGCTCCCGGGACCGGTCTGGCAGGTTCAGGTGATCCCACACAAAGCCCTTATTGAACAGAGACCTGTGGGATCTGTTCTGAATCTGCCCAGGGCCACCCCCCTCACCCCTATTCACCCCGAATAGCAAGGGCAGCCAGCACGTCCACATGGCACCGACCTGGGCACCCTCCTCACATGGGGAGCAGAGCCCTCAGCCCCATCCCAGCTGCCCAGCACAGACGTGGGCACCCTCCACACATGGGGAGCAGAGCTCTCAGCCCTGCCCCAGCTGCCCAGCAGGAGCTCTGCCCTGCCCCACATCCCTCCCCATGGTCACTAGGGCTGCTGGCTGGGGGTGGTCCATGCAGCCCCACGGTCACGGTGGGACGTGGAGCCCCCTTGTCCCTGCCCCATCGTCACTGGTGGGGTGTCTGTGAGCCTGTCCCACGGCCAGAGTGGCTGGTGCTCCCTGTGCCGACTCGTTCCTCTCAAAGCAACGGCTCCCGCGGCATCTGGTCAGGGCGGGAGAGAGACCTCGGTGTCCCCAGCAGGCTGGCAATCCCGTGCCCCAGCAACCCCCCCCGTGCTGCAGCAGCCCTCGCTGCCCCGCAGGTGCTGAGCTGGGCCCAGCAGCAGGGCGAGCGGCTGCGGGCACAGGCGGCCGCGCTGGCGGCCGAGCGGGAGGAGACGGCGCAGCTCATGGACTGGATCACGGCGGCCGAGGAGGCCCTGGGGCTGCGGGACCAGGAGCTGCTGCCGGAGGAGGCCGAGCAGCTGGAGGAGCTCATTGCTCAGCACGCGGTGAGGGACCCTGCGCCCGGCCAGCGCCGGGGACCGCGTCATCCCCGGTCCCAGCCGGGGGCTTTGGGGTGCACCAGGCTGAGCCCTTGGTGCCGCTCACACACGTTGGCAGAGGCACCGCGGCACCTTTGGCTTTGCGCAGCCCGAGCCCACCAGGTCTGCAGCACACGCTGCTGCTTTGGGAGGGTCCCGGGAAGGGGGCAACGGGGCTGGGCTGTGGGGGCTGTGGGGCACACCGGGGGGGGCTGTGCTGGCACGGCTGGTGGGCGCGCAGCACCGGCGCTCTGTGGCAGGTGTTCATGGAGGAGCTGAACCGCAAGCAGCCTGACGTGGAGAAGGTCACCAAAAGCTGCAAGCGGAAGCTGGCGGTGGATCTGGCCCCCCCGGCCGCCCGCCGGCTGGCCACACGTAAGGATCCCCAGCATCGCCCCCAGCGCCACGCCCCAGAGCCCCGGCTGTCCCCTCACCGCTCCCCCGGCTGTCCCCTCACCGCTCCCCCGGCTGTCCCCTCACCGCTCCCCCGGCTGTCCCCTCACCGCTCCCCCGGCTGTCCCCTCACCGCTCCCCCGCCTGTCCCCTCACCGCTCCCCTGGCTGTCCCCTCACTGCCCGTCTCCGCAGGGCGCCGCAGCGGTGGGAAGGCACAGGGTGCGGCGGCAGTGCCGCTCGGGGGGCTGGAGCCCCAGACGCCCCTCATGGCCCAGCTCCTGCACCGCTGGCAGCAGCTCTGGCTGCTGGCCCTGGACCGGCAGTACCGGCTGGAGACAGCCCTGCAGCGCCTGCGGGAGGTAAGGGGGCCCTGGGGGTCCCGGGCAGCTCCTTCCGTGGGAGGTAGGGGCACTCTGGAGTCCTGGGCAGCTTCTCCCGTGGGAGAAGGGGCACCCCAGGGGTCCTGCTGGCCAGGCGTGGGTGTGAGCAGCTCCTTTCGTGGGAGGTAGGTGCATTTTGGGGGTTCTGGGCAGCTGCTCCCCCCAAGAGGCCTCGACAGGACCAGGGCTGGGAGCAGCCAGGCTGTGCGTCTGAGCTGAGCGTCGGGCACAGGGCGGTCACCCTGGCTGACACGGAGGGGCTTGGGGTGTCCTGCCAGCGTGTTGATCCCCGTCTGTGCCGCCCTCCCCCCCCCCCCCAGCTGGAGGAGTTCGCACACTTTGACTTTGGGGTCTGGAGGAAGCGCTACATGCAGTGGATCAGCCAGATGAAGTCCCGGGTCCTGGATGTTTTCCGTGGCATCGACAGGGACCAGGACGGGCGCATAAGCCAGCGGGAGTTCATCGAGGGCGTCCTCGCCTCCAGTGGGTGCCGGGGGGCTGGAGGGGGCTGAGGGGGCTGGCAGAGGGGGCTGAGGGTCCCTGTCCACCCTCAGAGTTCCCCACCAACGTCCTGGAGATGAACGCCGTGGCCACCATCTTCGACATGAACGGCGACGGCTTCATCGACTACTATGAGTTCGTCAGTGCTCTGCACCCCAACCGCGACCCTCTGCGCCGCTCTGCCGACGCCGACCAGATCCAGGATGAGGTGTGCTGGGGGGTGGAGGCAGGGGGGGCTTGAAGGGTGCGGGACCCACCTGGGGCTGAGCTGAGCGTGGCCCCCCAGGTGAACAGGCAAGTGGCCCAGTGCAACTGTGCCAAGCGCTTCCAGGTGGAGCAGATCAGCGCCAACAGGTACCGGGTAAGTGCTGACCCGTGGGGATCCGGGCTTGGTCCTACACCTGTGCACAGCCTGCCCTGGGCAGGGCTCCTGCAGCACCCGTGTCCCGTGGCAAGGAGGGGGCACATCCTCATGGCCCAGGGAGCCCTGGCCCCATGGGAAGGCGGAGCCAGCAGGGACTGAGGGGCTGCAGGGGTGGGCAGGTCTGGGTGCTGGTACTGCTCTGGCACCCCCTCCCCTAATCCCAGCCCTGCTGAAGCCACCAGGCCCCACCTTGCCCCGATCTCTCTCTCCCCGCAGTTCGGGGAGTCCCAACAGCTGCGGATGGTGCGGATCCTGCGCAGCACCCTCATGGTGCGGGTCGGCGGGGGCTGGATCGCCCTGGATGAGTTCCTGGTGAAGAACGACCCCTGCAGAGGTGGGTGTGAGGGTCCCAGGCCGGGCACTGGTGCAGTGGAGTTCCTGTTCCCTGTGCCTGTGGGGCCAAGTGGGTTAGTGGGGTGGGGGCCATGTAGGGTGCAGCCCATGGGGTCTTGCACTGCTGGGACCCCATCGCCAGCCCCCTCACTGGCTCTGTCGTCCCTAGTGAAGGGAAGGACCAACCTGAAGATCAACGAGAAATACCTGTCCCCGGACACCTTCGGGGCCGCCGCCAGGTGTGCGGGGAACCAGTCGGCTGCTTCCTCCAAAGTGCTGTCCCCGAGCCGCTCCAACTCCAGCCTCAGCCTCTACAGTAGCGCCTCGGCCCCCAGCAGCCCCCTGGCCAGGAAGGTGAGGGCTGTGAACCCCTCCAGAAGCTTCCCCCCCCTTCCCAGCCCGCCCGCCCCAGGCACTGACCCTCTCCCTCCCCAGTCGGTGCTGCGGAGGACGCGCTCCGGCGATCGGTGTCCACGCTCCCGCGGCTCCGGGCTGCCCGACGGGGCCGAGCTGCAGTTCAGCGCGGCGGAGGAGAGCCTGGCTGTGGCACTGCCAGGTGAGCGCTGTGCGGCTGCGGGGGGCCCTGCCCACCCTGGGGGGCAGGGGTTTGGGGGGCACGGCGGAGCCGGAGCGGGTGTGCGGTGTGGGGCGGGACAGCGTGGCTGTCTGCCGGCCCTCGGCGCGCTGGAGCTGGTGCGGGAGAATTCCCCGCTCCAACCCCTCCGTACCCTCGCAGAGCCGCCCGAAGGGTCCCCCCCGGAGCGCTGCAGCCCCTGCCGCTGACCCCCGCGCCTGCCCTACGCCAGCACCCTCGGCCGGCCCCACTCAGGACCCTCCTCCCCGAGGCTGGAGGACGGCGAAGCCGCGGCCGTGCACCCCGCGAGGCTCCGGCCCGGCGCTGCGGCTCCCCGAGCGGGGCTGAGCGGTCTCCGATCCCGCCGGGACTGGCCCCGACGGATATGCAAGTATCCCCTGACACCCACCAAGCCCCCGGTCACTGGCCTCCTTCCCCACGGCTCCATCGGGCAGCGCGGGGTGGGGTGGCCGAGCCCCAGTGCCCCACGCGAGTTCCCGGGGCTGTGGGTCCGGCCGGGCATCCCCGCGCTGGGCCCTGCGCCTCTCCCGTGCCGTCAGCTCGGGGTGGCCGCGGTGCCCCCTGGCATTTGGCGTTGTTGACGGGGGTCTCCCACCCTGGTGCCCACGCCCCGGCGGGAGGTGGCCGGGCTCGGTACCCGGGTCCCGGGCCCCCTGGCCGGGCGCCGAGCCCCGTTTCTGGTGCTAACCCTCACCCCTCTGCCTTCGGTGTGTGCTCGGGGGGGCCCGGCTCCGGTCGGCCTCCGCCCCGGTGGGGCTGGGGCTGCCACGGACGGGGGTCCCTCGCGCCCGCGCCCCCGCCCTGCCGGCGGCCCCGGCGGGCAGCGGGACCCCCGCCCTGCTGCCGCATGCTCACGCACCCCGCTAACCGGACAGCAGTAGAGCTGAATGTAACCCCGGCCGGGCCCCCCCACCCGCCGCCACAATAAACTGTAGTGAGATTCCTTTTTCTATGAGCGCCCATCCGTCCCTCCATCTGTCCGCTCAAGGAGGGAGCTCCCTTCCGTCTGTCTGTCTGCTCGGGGAGGGGGATGCTCTGCCTGTCCATCTGTCTGCTCGGAGAGGGGACTGCAGTCTGTCCGTCTGTCTGCTCACCCTGCTGTCGGGGCTGGGCTGCCATGGCCGGAGAGGGTGTCGCATCACCAAAGCCAGCGCACACCGCACGCTGGTGGCACAGGGGGTGGCCGGGCAAGACCGGGTGTGCCCCAGCCGGTGCCACCGGCAGAGCCGCCCGGCGCCGCAGCCGCGGCTGGCAAGCCCCGGGCGCTGCAGCGGGTGCCAGCGGGCACCACGCCGGGTTACCTCCTTTCCGAGGAAGGCATTGCTGGCATTCCTGCTGTGCCCACGCTGGGCACTGCTGGGAGATGCTGGGTCCTCATACCTGGGTGCCTGTGGTGGCGCATCCCCCCACAGTGCTGGCTGCCCTTCACCCACCCCAGCGCCCTGAGAGCTCCAGGGGTGTCCATGCGGTCCCCAGGCATCGTGGTCCCAGCAGCTGTGCATCTGTCACCTGCCTGCCCAGTCGGAATGGCTGGGAGACAGCTGGGCCCATCCCAGGGCCTGTCAGGATGGGATGGGGTGTCTGGAGGCCCTGGCTGTGTCCCCACTCTGAGAGCTGGGGACACCTCGAGCATAGGGACTGTACCCAGCTACTGCAGTACCACAGCCCTTGCCTGGCACCTCCCCACCTTGGGAAGTCTCAGATCCCACAAATGGGGGCTGTGGCCGTTCCCTCTGATCCACCACCAGTGCTGGGGTTCTGCCGGGCTGCCCCCTCCCTATCCCAGCCCTCTTGGTTGCCTGAGTCTGCTCTCATGGCTTCCAGTCCCATTTCTCCACTGTTTCACCCTAAACCCCTCTCCACTCTCCTTTTCTGAACAAACACAGAGCCAAAGGGGCCGGGGCTGGAATTGTGCCAGTGAGTTTGTGCCGGGGCACGTCCCCGGTCACGCACGGGGGAGCCCCATGAACACTCTGGATCGGGGCCCCTCGCTCGGCGCTGCCACAGCCCCCCTGGAGCAGGGCCGAGCCCAGGGCTCTGCACGGCGCATCTGCCGACACGTCCCGGGATGGTCCCGCAGCGCTGCCGGCACGGGCTGGAACGCCGATACGAGTTGCGTTGCACATTCCTGTGCCTATGGAAATCTCTTCCACCACTCCCAGCTGGGGCAACACGCCCGGCACCACCGGCACCGCAGCCTGTGTCAGCCGCATCCTGAGCCCCGGGCGACGGCGCTGGCTCGGGAGGCAAAGGCAGCAGGCACGGGCGGGCTGGGCAAACACCAAACTGTTTGCAAGGTGTTTACACGGAGACACAGACCCTGCGGGTGCAGCCCCCCGGGGCTGGGGGTGGCACGATGGACAGACACCCACCCGGAGCACAAGGATGGGGACGTGGGGTCCCAGTGGGGCTGCACCATCCGCAGGCAGACAGGAACAGGGATGCACTGGGAGAGCCTCTGTGGGCCACAGCGTGTGCTGGGTTTGGGGGATCACGTCACTGGGGCAGCGGGTGAGCAGGTGGCAGCAGTGGGGAGCCAGACTGGCAGCTTGGCCCTGAGTGGGACTGTCATGGCTTGGTGCTCAGCCCCGAGCCCCTGAGCTGGGTCCCGTGGTCCTGCTCACAGGCCAGAGCAGCTGTCCCGTTGTGTGCCCTGTGGAGCCGGGTGGCCCCCGCACAGGGAGCAGGAGGCAGGTGCCACCCTGTTGCCCAACCACCCCTGAACTTGCCCTGGCTGTGGGAACCCTGGGAGTGGGGCCTGCCCTGCCACACATCCCACCCCACACACCCCACGCAGCCACACCGGCTGTGGCTGGAGCCACATTCTTCATCCCAGGCAATGGGGTCCGGCCACACCGCAGGGTGAGTGCCGTGCCCTGGGGCTGGGCTGGCAAAGGGGAGACTGCTCTGGTGTATCCCCCCAGACACCTCCTGTTCCCTCTCTGGGGTGTGAAAAACAGGACAGCTCCTCCAGTCCAAAAGTGCACAGCCCAGCTCCCACCACTCTGCTCCCAGCTTTCCTGGCCCTGGCACAGCTGTGTCCTAGGCTGCTCCAGCTCCCACCTGCAGTTTGCATCCGTGTCCTGGGAGAAGCCCTTGCCCAGTACCCAGGTATGGTGTGGAAAGGGAAGGGGAGAGAGCCACAGCAGCCCAGAGCCCTCTGAGCCCTTACCTGGATATGGTGTGGGTGGGGAAGGAGTGAGAGGCACCCTCTGGGCCCCCATCCTGCTCCGTGCAAAGCCACTATCTGGGCACAGGGCTGGAACACCAGCAGGGCTGGAGATGATGGCGCAGTAATGACGGAGTCTGGCGGGGCTGGAGGCCTTGGTACCAGGCGGGTTGGTATCAGCACACCAGCCCTGATCTCCGGCCAGGGCCAGAATATGTCCAGGCACACACGTGTGTGAGTGTGCAGAACCACTTGCGTGGCAGATGTGAGCGTGCAGAACCACTTGCACGTCAGATGTGAGTGTGCAGAACCACTTGCGTGGCAGATGTGAGTGTGCAGAACCACTTGTGTGGCAGATGTGAGTGTGCAGAACCACTTGTGTGGCAGATGTGAGCGTGCAGAACCACTTGTGTGGCAGATGTGCGTGAGCCTGTGCGCGAGCACCCGCTCTCACCTGACCAAGGTTGTGCGTGTGGGCACCGATCCTGGGTAGCAGAGCCCTGGCAGGCCCCTCCCGGTGCTGAGCTCAGCGCTGGCCCCAGGAGCGGCTTTGGGCCGCGCTCCCGCTGTGCCTCGCCCCTTCCCCGGCGTCCTCCCGGAGGGATGGGGAGGGTGGCGTCTTGTGCCCAAGCTGGCTCGTCCTCTTCGTGCTGCCACTGCCACCCCAGAGATGTGCTGAGCCCCCTGCCAGATCCTCCAGAGCTGGGGGGCTGTGCCCTGTGCTGCTGGCCCTCAGGCTGTCCGTGGGCCCAGACCCACAGCATCTGGGACAGACGGACACGGAGCAGGGGGCATGCGTGCCTGGTGATGCCGGGCACTGTGTGTGAGCGCTGGGGGCTTGGGTGGGATGTCCCTGCAGATAGGAGCCCTGCCAGTGGCAGCACAGTTTGTGGGGGCTGGAGTGGTCACTGCCAGGACCCATCACTGGCACTGCCAGCTCATCCCAAGCCCTGTCCCTCAGACCCACCTGGCCGGGCACTGCGGCTCTGGCAGTGCACCCGTGACACCCAGCTCGGCCGGGCACCAACTCACCAGGGCAGGCTTTCCCTCTGTGGGTGGCTCGTCCAGCACCGAGTGACCACATCCCAGCACCTCTGGGCTCCCCAATTCCCCACGGCCAACATCCCCCCGGCCCTGTGGGCTCCACAGCGGCACGGCAGGGGTGTCACTGAGGCTCCGGGAGCTGTGGCCGCCCACGGGCAGGGGAGAGGTGCCCAGGCCGGTCACTCCCCATCCTCACTGGCAGCCGAGGAGCTTTGATGAAGCCGCACGTGGTTGGGTTGGATTCGCTGGAATCGCAGCTGCTCCTTACGGCTCATTTACCACCACGGCCCCTTCCCATCGCCCCGGGCAGCAACAGCCACTCCATGCTGGTGGGAAGAGCATGGCCCAGTATGGCCCAGTTCAGCCCAGCACAGCCCAGCATGGCTCATTATAGCCCAGTATTGCCCAGCAAGGTGCAGTAATGCCCACCATGGCCCAGCACAGACCTGTATGGCTCATTACAGCCCAGCACAGCTCAGTATGGCCCAGCACAACCCAGTCTGGCCCAGCACAGCCCAGTCTGGCCCAGGACAGTGCACTGGTTGCTGTGTGCTCAGCTGTGCTGCCAAGGCAGGGACCCGAGGTCCCGTCCTTGCCTGTCCCTGCAGCCCAGTGGGGTGGTGATGCCCCACTGACCTTGCCTGTGCTCAGTCCTGCTGCAGCCCCGGGGCTGTCCTATCTCCCAGAGCAGGTCACAGGGTCCTGGGGAGGCTGTAGGGAGGCTTTGCTGGCCCCCACCCCATCACAGAGGGAGTGAGTTGGTACCTTGGAGCCTCGGCAGGGGGAAGCTCCACAGTGCCAGCACCGAGCCACTCCACTGTGGCGGCGCCGAGCGCTCTGCGGTGACGGCAAACACTTATCCCTGTTTGCTGATGGATTAAAGCTCCTTGGCACCTCCTGGGAGTGACACTTCTGCTGGTGACCGGGAAGCTGTCAGAAACCTGCGCTGGTTTCTGGGATGCAGCCACCTCTCCACGGGCCACAGGAGCTGGGATGGGTATGGTGGCAGATGCAGCCCCCGTCCCTCTCACTGGTGCTGCCCCTGTTTGGACATCGCCCTGTGAGTCTGGGACGTTGTGCAGACCAGCCTCTGTCTTGGCCCCACAGCTCTGGGTGACCCTCCTGAGGGTCCCTCTTCCCTCCCGGGTCACTGGCTCAGCACTGCTGGAACAGCAGGCACAGAAAGGGTTTTCTGTCCAGGAGTTTGGCAGTGCCATTACCATGGGAATGCTCCTCCACATGGGGGGAACTGCCACTGCTGGGGGGGGGCTGGCTGCACCCACCGTGGGTACCGGGGCTCGGTGCCCACCGGAGCGTGCCATGCCGTATTACGGGCTCGCCTTGGCCAGGCCCGTGCCTGGATACCGGCACCTCTCCAGACAACACACTCCCACACACCATAAACATCTTACCCAAGTGCCCCATCCCTTCCACAGAACCTCACCCTGCAGGGTGGTGCCGGGGGAGGCTGCGGAGCGACCCCCTTGCCCTGGTGGGCCCAAAGGGCTCCTCCCCCTCTGCAGCGCCTGCTGCTCTCTTGGGCCCCGCTGAGCATCAGTGGCAGCAGGGAGAGGGCAGGGGGTGCTTGGGGAGAGCAGGAGCGGGGTGTGAACCTGCAAGCAGGGTCTGGGGAGAGGGCGTGGGGCTGGTGACGGAGACAGGGCAGGGGTGTTTGGGTGACTCAGGTGGCAATGAGGTGGTTTGGGCATGTTTTGGGCAATTCGGGCTGCACGTGCACATCCAGGGGTGTGGACAAGGCTGGAGGGAGCAGGGAAGGGTCCTCCTCTCCACTCCAGCCGCTGTGGTTGTGGGGTCAGGCCCGCAGTGGGGTCTGTCAGCCCTGCAGCTGCAGCCAGGACAAGGCACAGGGGCACTGCTGGTGGAGAGGAGGGTTTGGGGTGTGGTGGGGAGAAGGATGAGGGGCTGCTGGGGATGAGGGCAGCGCTGGCCCCGGGGAAGGGGGTCTCCGTTCTTTGCTCTGCAGAGGGCACTGCCCACTGGGGCAGGGCCACCTCCCACACCGCAGCTGTTTTGGGATGGGTGGACCCCTGCGAGGGGGGGGGCTCCAGCACCCAGAGGGAGCCGTGGGGAGGGCTGGCCTGCGAGTTTCTGGCAGGGCTGGGCCGGTGTGTCATCCCCAGGGGCGGGGAAGGGCAAGGTTTTAAACGTGCTCTGGTGCCGGGCAGGAAGCAGCGGTGAAGCAGCGGGATCGCGGGCACCTGCCAGGTGAGCCCCTTCTGCTATCACCGTGCGCAGGTGGGAGCGGTGGGGTGGAGCGGGGCCTGGCTGGGCACTGCGGGCCGTACCGGGGGGGCAGCAGGGGACGGAAGCGCTCGCCCGGTCCCGGTATGTGCGGAATGCGGCACCGCTCCCGCCTGCCGGTCTGGCGGGGCTGAGCCAGGAGCCGGGGCGCGACCGTGGCACCTGGGCACTGCCACCCCTCCTGGGGCAGTAGGAGGATGGTGATTCCTGACCCCGGCACTTCCCAGGAGCGGGACAGGAGGTGTTGGCTGCCCGAACAGGACGGCTCCCGGGAAAAGCCCGGGATGTCTCGGGGTTCCAACTGAGGGGTTCGGCGGGTGCCGAGGAAGGGGCAGGTGGTGGGTCGGGGCAGGCAGGGACTGGCAGCACCTTCCCACAGTAGCCGGTGAGGGGGGTGCATGGAGTTGTCCCCGTGGGCAGGATGTGACACCATCCCACTGCAGCCCCGCTCCGGGCACCGGGCAGGAGCCTCTCTGTCCCTGGACATTTGGGGAACCCGAAACTGTGGTCCCTGAGCCGGGGCAGCTGGGCAGGCAGCGCTGCCCGGGAAGGGGTGCTGGGCTACCCCCAGCCCGCTCAGAGCAAGGCCCCCCGAGAGCCCCCCAGCTACATTCCCTGTCTCCATCACCCTTTGTCACTAACCCAGAAAACTTCTCTACTGCTCTCCCTCCCCTGAAACACCCCCGGCCTCGGCCTGTGTCCCCCCGGAGACCACCCCACAGACTTCCCCGGCCCCGCCAGGCTCTCACCCCCAGTCCCAGCCCCTCCCAGGGCTCTGCTGTCACTGCTCCTCAGACACCTCCTCCGCCACCCTCTCCCTGACACCGTGTCCCCTCTGCCAGTAAAACCTGTCCCTTTTCCCGGTCCCTCCCCAGGGCCCCCGGCAGCCTCTCCCTGCCCAGCCGGCCTGCGGGTGCTCCCCGCGGGTGCAGAGGTGCGGTTGTGCCGCGGGACGGGGGCAGCGCCGCTGTCGGGGGCCCTGGGGAGGGACGCGGGTGGCGGTGGGTGGGCAGGGACAGCGGGGGCCGTGGGCTGGAGGTGGGTGCGCGGGGGGCCGCGGCTCCCACCGGTGCTAGCGCGTTCCCTGACGCTGCCAGGAGCGAAAGCCGCAGAGCAGCAGTTGCGGATGCCAGGAAAGAGGTGCCCGAGTCGGGGAGAGACCGTGGCCCCGGGGAGGGCGGCAGGTGCCAACACCTCTGCCAGGAATCTCCGTGCTGTCGCAGGCAGAGTCGGTTACTCAAAGTTTCCGTGGAGCTGACGCCTTCTGATGAAAGGGAGCAGAGTCCTTCCCCCGCCGTGCACCCACTGCCTCTCTCTGCCCGGGGAGGGTTGGGGGCAACACCTCGATCCTCAGGCCCCCGGCCCCGATATGGGAGTTGGGTTTTCAAGCTGCCACAGTTATGGGTGGCAGTGCCCAAATTCCATCTGCACTCCGGTGCCAGTCGCCAGCTTGGCTCTGGGACATGTGGGGACCTGCCTGGGGCTCTCGATACTGGAGCCACACCGGTGCTGGTGCCGGTGTGACTTGGCTCTGGGACATGTGGGGACCTGCCTGGGGCTCTCGATACCGAAGCCACACTGGTGCTGGTGTCCGTGGCCGTCTCAGCTCTGAGACATGTGGGGACCTGCCTGGGACTCTCCAGACACCAGAGCTGCCCACCGCTGTGCCCACGGCATGGCTGGGCTGGGCCCAGCTCCTGCCAAGCACAGCACGGCCAGTGCCATCCAACCCGGCATGTCCCTCTCAGGAAAGGGTTGTGGGGCCAGGAACAGCGTTCCGGCCCCAGGACCAGGGCGGGCAGAGCCCGTGCCGAGGTGCTGCCAGCCCGACGTGTGTTTAGGGGGTGTGTGGCACAGGGCTGTCCGTCCCGGGCTCGTGTGGGTGTGTGCACCCAAAGGAGGGACAGAGGGGGCGGCCCTGCGAGGCGGGGGAACTCCCCCGCTCCCACCCCAGAGCTCAGGACAGAGTGACTCCTCCAGCTCTCAGCTAGCAGCTGGGCCCCTCGCCCTCCCCGCAGGACCCGCCCCTTCCCCATCACGTAGGGACCCCCGAGTCCTCCCCGCCTCTCCCCGTCCTTCCCGGAGGCAGGCACAGCCCCGGGGCCTCCCGGCCGCCGTCCCCACCTCTTGGCGCCGGAGCCGGGCGCAATCCTGATCCTGCAAACACAAACAGCATTGCCTGGGCAGATCCGAGCCGCACTGACATCACCGGGCGGAGGGAGCCGGCTCCTGTTGGGACCTTTCCCCGGGCGGGGCAGCGAGCCCAGAGCGCGGCTGGGACAGAGGAGTCCTCGTGAGGAAGAGATGCTGGCGTGGCCGGAGGGCATGGAATGGGTCGGAGAGACACGCGGGGACGGAGCCGGGAGCACTGAGCCCCGCTGGAGAGGCTGGTCCCGGGGTGGGCAGGGACCCGGGCACAGCACCCGCCGGCACCGTCACGCTGCTCTTCGCTCCCTGGTGTTTACACTGGTGTACTGGGCAGGACGCGGGGCTGTGAGCTCCGGGCAGTGAGATACAGCCGGTCCACGCTGTCGCCACTCGATGTGACCTCTGCGGGAGGGTCAGTGTGACGCCGGCTCTCCCTGGGACTCATGCTCCGGCTCCACAGCCTCCTGCCCAGGACCGATAGGTGCTGGCACAGACGCCGTTCTGTGGGAGGCTGTGGGCAGGGAGGCTCCTCCAGCACCACGTGCCGCAGCCGCAGCCCGGAGGCTGTGGCTGACCACAGCTCCCAGAGTTGGGCACGCCCATGCTTGGCCACAGGTACCCTCAAACCTGCCGGTGTGCACAGCCCAGCACCGCGGCCTCTGCTCCCTCGGGCACTGTCACTGCCCTGTGGCACATCCCAGCGTGTCCCGGGGCTTTGCAAACGGGAGGGCAGGTTTGGAGTGGGTGTTACCTCACTCCGAGGCAGCCCCAGAGACTCTTTGCCCGGTGTCCACTGCTCACTGAGATGGAGCCTCTGCCCTCCTTGCATTGCTAGGAGAGTATGGGAAGGAGGGACAGCAGAAAGAGGGGTGGGTTCTTGCAGCAGCCACAGTGGGAGCACACAGACCTGCATGCTGGGACTCCTGGAATCACAAAATCAGGGAATGGTTTGGGTGGGAAGGGGCCTAAAATCCCATCCAACCCTTGGAGCATCTCCATGGGCTCCTCTGGATCTCTCCAGCAGCTCCACATCCTTATGTTGAGGCCCCAGGGCTGGAGGCAGCTCTGCAGGTGGGGTCTCCTCTCAGTGGGGCAGAATCCTGCCCCTCTCCTGCTGCCCACACTGTGGGATCAGCCCAGAAAATGAGGGGTTTCTGGGTGCCAGTGCACATGGCTGAGGCATGTGGAGCTTCTCCTCCATCGACTCTGAGCTCGGCCAGATCCCTTGGGGTGGCATATCAGGTTCAGACGTGCTCAGCCTTTGGCTGTCACTTCCTCCTGCCTGGGGTTATTTATGTTTCTGATTTCCCTGTATTTAACACGCAAAGCATAAAAAAGTTGATTTCTCACTGACCCTTCTCCCGTTCTCCCCCCTCTCTCCAGAGTCCTGTGGAAGGCCTGCAGCGAGAGGATGGAGAGCAAGCCAGCAGTGAATGGCCACGCTGTTCCCAGCTTCCCCGGGGGAGACATGCCAGGGAAAACCCACTTGTGCCAGGAGGCGATGCCGTGCAAACAGCCGAGAGCAGCTGGCAGGGACGCGGCGGGGCCGGATGCTCCCGGGGAGCCCTCGGAGGCGGCGTGCAGCATTGCTGGCGTGTATGTAGAGGCTTCAAAGAAGATAATGAGCTTTTATGAGGCCACCAGAGAGCATCTCCTGAGCCTGGATCCGGCCCTCAGCCTCCTCGAGGCCCAGGCAGCCACCGGCTCCATCGCCGACCCGGTGACGCACCGGCGCGTCTCGGTGGCAGAAGCCGTGCGACTGGGGCTGGTGGGGCTGGAGCTAAAGGAGAGGCTGCTTGCAGCAGAGAGGGCTGCCACTGGCTTCCTGGACCCCTACACAGAAGAGAAGATCCCCCTGTACCAGGCAATGCAGAAGGAGCTGGTGGGAAGGGAGCAAGGCACCCGACTGCTCCAGGCCCAGATGGCAACCGGAGGCGTCATCGACCCGGCCACCGGGGCTCGACTGCCGGTGGATGCAGCCTGTGAGAGGGGATATTTGGATGAAGAGATGAGCCAGCACCTCTCTGACCCCAGCCACGAGGACAGCAGAGCATTCCTCGATCCCAGTACTACAGAGAAGGTCACCTATTGGGAGCTAAGGAAGAGATGTGTTGTGGATCCCGCCTCGGGCTTCCTCCTCCTGCCCCTGCAAGTCACATTCCCAGGGCTGGGTGGGAGGGTGAGCAGCAGGGACCTGCTGGACTCTGGCATCATCAGCCACGACGTGTTCCGAGGCCTCGAGGAGGGAAGAGTCCCTGCGCAGGAGTTGGCAGAGAATGATGTTGTCCAGCAGTTCCTGCGTGGGACGAGGAGTGTGGCTGGGGTTGTCCTGCCTTCTGGGGAGCAGAGGAGCCTTTACCAGGCCCTGAGAGAGCATCTCCTCGTGCCTGGTGCTGCTCTGATGCTCCTGCAAGTCCAGGCCTCCACTGGCAGCCTGATAGACCCCCTGAAGAACAAAACTTACTCAGTGGATGAGGCTGTCAGGGTTGGTTTTATCGGCCCAGAGCTTCATGAGAAACTGTCTTCAGCTGAGAAAACCATCACTGGATACAGAGACCCCTCCACTGGGGAAATGCTCTCTCTGTTCCAAGCCATCAGGAAGGGATTTGTCCCCAGGAACCATGGCCTCTGTCTTCTGGAGGCTCAGATGGCCACGGGGGGTGTGATTGCTCCAGGCAGACACCTCCGTGTCCCCACAGAGACAGCCTGCGAGTGGGGGTACCTGGACGAGGCCACCAGACAGCTCCTCTCCAGCCCTCCTGACCACATGAAAGGGTTCTTTGACCCCAGCTCCAAAGAAAAGCTGAGTTATTCGGAGCTGCTGCGGTGCTGCGTCACCGATCCTGGCACGGGGCTCCTGCTGCTGCCACTTGGTGGGGACGGCAGTGAAGGATCCCAGGGAACCCCTCTCTTCTTTGACCACAGGGCCCAAATGGCTCTGGAAAACACACAGGTGCCCATTTCTGTAGGGAAGTTCAAGGGCAAGTCGGTGTCTCTCTGGAAACTCCTCTTCTCTGACTACATCCAGGGTGAGCGAAGAGCTGCTCTTGCCCAGCAGTTCCTGTCAGGAACACTCTCCACGCAAGGACTGGGTGAGTCCCTCAGAGCTGCTGTTGAGGAAATGGCTGCCACTGCCAACGTCACCTTCGAGGGCCTGAGGGACCAGGTGACAGCTGACCAGCTCCTGAGCTCAGAAATTATCAACAAAGACTTGTTTAAGAAACTCAAGGAAGGTGAAACGTCAGCCAAGGAAGTTGTTGGCATGGACACCGTCAGGAAGTACCTGCAGGGCACAGGAAGCATCGGGGGGCTGCTGCTCCCCGACTCCCAGGAGAAGATCAGCATCTACCAGGCAAAGCGGAAAGGACTTCTAAGGCCAGGAACATCTCTGATCCTCCTGGAGGCACAGGCTGCCACGGGGTTTGTCATTGACCCCACTGCCAACAAGAGGTATTCCGTGGACGAGGCCTTGCGAGCGAACGTCATTGGCCCCGACGTTTACGACAAGCTGCTGGCTGCGGAGAAATCGGTCACTGGCTACAGAGACCCCTACTCGGGGAGCAAGATCTCCCTCTTCCAGGCCATGCAGAAGGAGTTGATTGTCAAGGAGCACGGCATCCGCCTGCTGGAGGCCCAGATCGCCACCGGCGGCATCATCGACCCCGTGCACAGCCACCGCATCCCCGTGGAGGTGGCCTACAAACGCGGCTACTTCGACAAGAAGATGAATTTAATCCTTTCCGACCCCAGTGATGACACCAAGGGCTTCTTCGACCCCAACACCCACGAGAACCTGACCTACCTGCAGCTGAAGGAGAAGTGCATCACCGAGCCCTCCACCGGGCTCTGCCTCCTCCCTCTGAACAGCAGGAAGCGGCAGTTCATCGACGAGGCCACCAGGCAGGTGTTCAGGAGCTCCTGGCTGCCCGTCAGGTTTGGGCGCTTACGGGGTGAGAAGGTCTCTGTGTGGGACCTGCTGAACTCTGAGTACTTCAGCGAGGGGAGGCGCCGGGAGATTTTCAACCACTTCCAGCTGAGGAAGCTCAGCCTGGAGCAAATCCGGCTCATGCTGGAGGAGGAAATGAAGAAATGGGCCCCCATCAAGTTCCCAGCCATGCGAGGCAGCGTCAGTGCTTACCACCTGATGGAAACGGGCGTCATTGACAGGGCCCTGTTTGAGAAGGTGCTGGAGGGATCCGTCACGCCAGAGCAAGTCCTGCACATGGACTCTGTCAGGAAGTACCTCTATGGCTCGGGCAGCATTGGGGGGATTGTCCTCCAGCCATCAAACCAGAGGATGAGCATTTATGAGGCCATGAAGCAGAACATTGTGGTGCCAGGAGTAGCTCTGCCCCTGCTAGAGGCCCAGGCTGCCACGGGCTTCATCATCGACCCCGTGAACAATCAGAAGCTCCGTGTGGACGAGGCTGTCAGGGAGGGAGTCATCGGCCCAGACGTCCACGAGAAGCTGCAGCACGCAGAAGGGGCCGTGACAGGCTATAAAGACCCTTTCACAGGCAAGAAGATCCCCCTCTTCCAGGCAATGAAGAAGGGCCTGATCGAGGACAAACGGGCCATGCAGCTCATGGAGGTGCAGATGGCCACAGGAGGCATCATCGACCCGGCGTGTGGCCACTACATCCCCCTGGAGTCAGCCCAGCAGCGAGGGTGCCTGGATGAGGACACGAGCAAGGCCCTTTCCCAGCCCAGTGATGAGCACAGAGCCTTCTGCCTCCCGGACAGCAAAGAGTCCGTGACCTACGCTGAGCTAATCCAGCGCTGCCAGAAGGACGACGTCTCTGGCTTCCACTTGCTGCCTCTGCCCCAGGCTGCTGCTCCTGCCTACACCGACGAGCAAATCCAACGGATTTTCAAGGAAACCGTGGTGAAGGAAAAAGGGGTTTCCCTCTGGGAGCTCATCCACTCAGGCTATTTCACTGAGGAGCAGAGGAGTGACTTCGTGGAGAGGTTCCGCTCTGAGGAGCTGTCGCTGCAGCAGCTGGTCGCTCTTGTGCTCAGGCTCGTGGGGGACATGGAGATGAAAGCCAGGACCCAGATCTCCCTGGAGGGCCTGCGGGGCAGTGTCCCCGTGGTCTGGCTGCTGGACACGGGCATAATTTCTGAGAAGACCTTCGAGGAACTGGCTCAGGGCATAAGAACTCCTGAGGAAGTGGCTGAGATGGAGAGCGTGAAGAGGTACTTGCAGGGCACAGGCAGCATCGCCGGCGTCTTCATAGAGGCATCCAAACAGAAAATGAGCTTCTATGATGCCATGAAAAACAATCTCCTCCTCCCTGGGGCTGCTCTGAGGCTGCTCGAGGCTCAGGCAGCCACAGGATACCTGACTGACCCCGCAACAAACCGGAGGCTCAGCGTGAGGGATGCTGTGAGAGCGGCTGTTGTGGGCGAAGAGCTCACCGAGAAACTCCTTCTCGCTGAGAGGGCCGTGACGGGGTACACGGATCCCTACACAGGGAGCTCCATCTCCCTGTGCCAAGCGCTCAGGAAGGAGCTGATCCCCCTGGGAGAGGCTGTTCCCTTGCTAGAGGCCCAGCTGGCCACGGGAGGGGTCATTGATCCCATCCACCACCTCCACCTGCCGCTGCAGGCTGCGTGCAGGTACGGCTTCTACAACGAGGACATGAACCACGCCCTGTCTCAGCTGAATGACAGCACCAAGGTCTTTTTCGATCCCAACACCAAGGAGAACGTGACCTATGAGCAGCTGAAGCAGCGGTGCATTCGCGAGCCTGAGTCGGGGCTGTGGCTCCTCCCTCTGTCAGAAGATGCCATGTTCTGTGTGGATGAACAGACCATGGAAGTGCTGAAATCTGTGACTGTTTGTGTCAACGTGGGGCGGTTCAAGGGACAGACGGTGTCTGTCTGGGACCTCCTCAACTCTGAATACTTCTCAGACAGCAAGAGAAGAGAACTGGTGCAAAAATACAAAGATGAGAAGGCTGAAGTGCTCCAGGAAATCACAACAATTATCACCACAATCATCCAAGAGACTGAGGCACAAGGCAAGAAGTTTGCATTCCAGGGCCTGCGGAAAAGAGTATCTGCCAGTGACCTCTTCCAGTCCCAACTCATAGATAAAAAGACCCTTGATGAGCTCAACCAGGGGAAGAAAACAGTCAAAGAAGTCACTGAAATGGAGTCTGTCCGCAGGTACCTGGAGGGCAGCAATTTCATAGCAGGGGTCCTTATACAGCCAAGCAATGAGAAGATGAGCATCTACCAGGCCATGTGGAAAGGCATCCTGAGGCCAGGGACTGCCCTGGTGCTGCTGGAGGCGCAGGCAGCCACTGGCTACATCATCGACCCTGAGAAAAACCAGAAGTTTTCCGTGGAGGAAGCGCTAAAGGAAGGTCTGATCGGAGGGGAGATTTTTGAAAAGCTGCTCTGTGCAGAGAGAGCCGTGACGGGCTACACCGACCCCTACACGAAAGCCCCAATGTCCCTGTTCGAAGCCATGAAGCAGGGGCTGATTGTGAAGAGCCACGGCATCCGCCTGCTGGAGGCCCAGATCGCCACCGGCGGCATCATCGACCCCGTGCACAGCCACCGCCTGCCCGTGGAGGTGGCCTACAAACGCGGCTACTTCGACCAGGAGATGAGCCAGATCCTGTCTGACCCCAGCGACGACACCAAGGGCTTCTTCGACCCCAACACCCACGAGAACCTGACCTACATGCAACTACTGGAGAGATGTGTCCAAGACCCCGAGACGGGGCTGTATATGCTGCAAGTCGTAAAGGAAGGAGGGAAGTACTTCTACATCGATGAGTCCACCAAACAGGCTTTGCGCTCAAAGCCCCTCCAAGTGAAAGTTGGCAAGTTTAAGGATCAGACAGTTTCCGTCTGGGAAGTGCTCTGCTCTCACTACATCTCGGAGCAGAAGAGGAAAGAGCTGGTGATGCAGTACAAAAGCAAAACCCTGACACTGGAAGATCTGATATCCCTCATCTTAAAAATCATCGAGGACACAGAGCAAAGAGCAGAAGCCCTGAAGGTCAAAGGACTGCGGGGGGAGGTGTCAGTGTCAGAACTGTTCAGCTCTGAGATAATTGACAAGAAAACCCTGGATCAGCTGCACGATGGGAGTTTAACACTTGCCACCCTCACAAAGAGGGACGCCATCCAAAGGTACCTGGATGGCACTGGGAGCATCGCCGGGGTTCTTCTCCCATCGAGGAAGGAGAAGATGAGCATCTACCAGGCACTGAAGAGGGGCCTCCTCACAGAGCAGTGTGCGCTGGGGCTGCTGGAGGCGCAGGCGGCCACCGGCTTCCTCATCGACCCCCTGAACAACCAGAAGCTGTCGGTGGACGAGGCTGTGTCATCTGGGCTGGTGGGCAGTGAACTGCACGAGCAACTGCTGCTGGCAGAGAAAGCAGTGACGGGATACACCGATCAAACAGGAGCTAAAATATCCCTCTTCCAGGCTGTAAGGCAGAAGAGAG